AGGGGGTTTAAATTTAAGCATTATCTCCCTGCAGAATTTGACAATTGTCTGACAGCTGAATTAAGGCTAAACCTAAATTATGCAAAATGTAGACGATTTTGTTGAATTACTACAGATTTTCTACAGATTTTGGCCAGCTGAGCCAGGACACTGTTTACAATCATTTTGCTACATCTGCATTGTTTAATTTTAATTAAATCATATTTGATATCTCGAGTTGTCACAGCGATGCACTTCTACTTAGCTGTGTGACTTCAGCCAAAGCTTATTTGAACAAGGTTATGTTAGTTTTATCATTAGCTACAATGGGCTATATGCAAAAAAAACTTTAAATTTCAGCCACCCAGCCTCAGTCTTTCCAATATAGCATTGCCTTATTTAAGGTCTGATTTCTTTAAAAAGCAGAGATCTTTACTGCCTAATAGATATACAATATAAAGTGGGTCTCAGACCGGACAAAAAGCATTACATTAAATTTCATGCCATGAGGGGGCCTACGCATTATGGGCTACACCAAACTTTGGCATACAGTCAAGCAAACGTTGAAAAGTCACCGCAAAATCCATAATTTTAGCCCAAAATAATTTAAATTTTCCCCTTGCAAAATCTAGAAGGGACTGGCTGAGCACTGAGCAGACAAATAATAAATAAAAACACCACAGAATGTGTTTCACGTGCTACAACCTCTTGATTCCATTTGATTGCCAGTTATAAAAAATGCTGTGAAAAATAGCCTAACCACAATAGGCTAAATATGTGAAACATGACAACAAACACAGTACAAATTTGTTTTTTGCTAAATGGGAAATTTTAAAATCCCTGATATTCCATAACTTGGACAAATATATATATAACTCCCTGACGTCCAATGTCTGGAGGAAACCTTTTAAAATTCGATTATATTCCAGAAAGTCAAAGCCCCCTAGAAACCCTAATGATGGTGTATGAATGTGCTGCAGTGGCTAAAATCCAAATGTGGGTCACTTCACACACCGCTGAGATTTTCTTTGAAAGAGGAATGGCTAAGGAACGTAGAAGCAAAACATATTTTGCTGCTTGTTGTTTATTTTGTTAAAGTCATTGCTCAAATTATCTTAAAATGCCTTTAAATCACATGCCAATAATAAACTTTCAATAATAATCCCAACTCAACTATGCATATCCTGCAATGTGACTATTGCGGACACACACATTGCGATATCAAGGCTGAAACAATATATTGCGCAGCCCTACTTTAAACCTGCTTATTTTAAAGTTGTTTAAAATTCTGGACAAGATATATTAGTCATGCATTAGTGTTATTAGTCAATTATTATTAAATATCTGGGTCTTTGACAACCTGTCTATATCAACTCTTAGGACAATGGTTCTGAACAGTACCAAATTAGAGTTCTTAGGCTTGTAACAATAGCAAAAACACACTAAATGCAGTACTGTTCATTAGGTTTGTTAAAAAATCATGTTTTGAAAGTGATATGGACCTTAAAATGATTTGTAATAATATCTTATTTATTATAAAGAATATTTATTTTATTAATATTAGTATTATTAACATTAGTTTATAATGTGTTATGTAATGTGTTATGTTGTATGTCATATGAATGACTCAGGAACAAATGTTCAATAAAGACACTGTATATTTTACTGATTTTTTTTTTTTTTTTTTTTTGTAAATCTTTAGTAAAGATTATCACTTTTTTTTCTAAGACCAGTTTACATACAGAATTTCCATCAGTAACCAAGTCATAATAAACCTGATGGAGGAAAACTGTATGTGGGAAGCAGAGGGGCGCGATTTCGCGAGGTAACCTGAGCTGGGATAAATGGTATTTTCTGTCTTGCCTAATTAGGTATGTCAGTTTAGGCGTGAACATGCTTTCTCTGATTATAGCCTAAGGACCCCATCAAACTCGAGGCACACTTTAGTACAGCACACTCTGTTAGCACCACTGTATACAGTTACAGGCTGGACTCAACACAGAAACATAATAACTTAACGAACACCCGCGGAAATGAGGCAGACATCAACTCCTGAGACAGCTGAAGGCCACAGAAAAAAATGTCTAGGTGCTGGTTCTGTTACCTTCTCACTCACCTCTAGGACTGTACTGCACTCCTTTTGGTTACATGTTGCTGTTTTAGTAATTTGGACTCAGTTTGTTGGAGGATACAAACATCGCGCATGCATGTTTAACTAAACATTGAACTGAAATGTGTGTGAAAAAAAATGCGAGAGGTGAAACATTTCTGTGGCTCGGGCGACCTCTACCGGTGAATATTATGAGCTACCGATGAATAATATAAATATGAGCATACTGTGTAAGAGGTCAACCTCTACAAATGGAGTGCCTTCATTGTAATAATCATATCTTATATAACATTAGGTGAGCGTGTTATTTGTGTTTGACTGTAACAATGAGATTGCAATTTTATTTAACATCTTATGTAACTAAGACAAGAGCTTATCATGAAATGCTTCGTGCTCAAAAACAAAACATAACACACACACACACACACACCCACACACACACACACACACATAATAAATATATACATTTTTACATTAAAATACTACAAAAATAACATATCATAATTAGGTCATAATATATCCTCACATTTGTTTAATATCCGTACAAATATAGGCTATAAAGCCAAACTGGCAACAATCTCTGCTTATTTGAATGGCAAATATTTGCTTATCTGCTAAACAAACAACTAGGGACTTTATGCTTTGCATAATAGTGTAGATATCCAACTCACACTAAAGCACTGAGATTTAAGTAACGTTATTATGTTTAGACGACATGTTTTACGTTTAAATAAAAATAGGCCTTTTTCACACTTCCTGGTTCCGGTAAGCGAAGCAGTGTACCACAACATCCGGTTTCAATGCGACGGAGCAAGAAAGAATGGCAGGGTCATCTCATCGCTGTGATTGCCGCGTTCCCAGCTGCTCCAACTCAAAAACGACACTCTTACTTTAATGACCACGATCTCCCGAAAGACGAAGGACAGGGAAAATCATGGATGACAATATTAAAGGGGGTTGAATGCCGTTTCAAGTTATATGCGGGAGTACATTCTTATGCTGTATACACTTCAAAGCGGAGATTAGTATGTTTCATTAAAGACTGGTGGTCTATGGTTTATTTTGATGAGTAATTATAATATAGACAAAACTCCAGTTAAGCTATCTGCCTTCCACAATCAAGTGCTCATCATGGTCATTAATCTATAAGCATGATTTCTCCCTACATTGTTGTTATTTTGGAATAATAGACAGTTCATACAAATGCAAATCTCTTTTTTTAATTGGTTTGACAGCAAAATTATTTGTTTAGTCAGTTATATAATAAAGATGGTAAACTTTTCTTACAATGAAGTCCTTTATTACAAAATCAAAATATTAAGAAACCCAGCAAGTTTTTAACTGTTATTGGTTCAATTCCTGCAGAGACATGTTATTCATTCATGTTATTTAGAGGTATTAATAAGACAATCCTTCTGATGCATCGTCTTTTGATATTACTAAATCTTATGTCGGCAAATTTTGTTTTACTAAATACCAAGAGTAATGATAGAGCTATTCATACTCTTTTCCAAAAAGAAATCATTACTGTACCTTATATTCAATTTTATTATATGTCTTTATTAAAGGGTGAATTGAAGAAAAGTGTGGCTGTTACCACAGAAATATCATATTAGAAATAGAATTAAAGAAATGTCCTATACACTCATCCACAGGTTTTATCCAGCAGAACATTGTTTGCAAAAATTTTAAAGTGGTATTGATGTAAATTGTATTTTTGTAACGAATATGAGGAGACAGTTTTACACTTATTTTGGCATTGTACATAGTCAGCTTATGGGGTGAGTTGCAAAATGAACTTTTGTATTCAAAACCTCTTTCATTATGGATAAATGTACATTTGGGCTTTACTTGATTATCCTAATCTAGAGGAAAATAGTTTTATTTATTTAATTTGCTTATGTTGTTAACAAAATTGTACATTCATAAATGTAAATTTACTAATATGAAACCAGATTTTAAGGTATTGTTGACTGAAATATGCTTGTACAATACCAGTATCAACTCTCTAAACAAGAAACTTGACCCACTTTAAAATGTGTGAACTCTACAATGTATTTCGTTATACACATGTTATATTACATTTTGATTATTTGTATTTTATTTATAATTACCCCTTGGTATGTACATTTTTGTATTGTAAAATGTTATTTGCTGTTCTTTAAATAAATAATAAAAATGAATATTATCCACGAGTAAGAGCTAACGTGTTTCCAGACTTGAGAAAACCTCACGAGCATTAAACAACCTGTAATGTATTAACCGATAGCTAACTCGCCTGTACAGCTTACTTACCTCGCCATTCACTATATCTGACTCTTAATAAAAAGGAAGGAGGGGGTAAGCACAGTTTACAGACGGGACTACTGACATTAAACTCATCCTGCTGGATGTTAAATAGCCAGGTTAATCTAGTTTACGAATGGCTTGAATGAGCAGATTTTATGCTGTTGGCTGTGCACTTTACTGGAACCTGATGTTGCTAACGCAAACGGTAAGACACGTTTTCTGCACAAATTCTGCAAATCGGTATCATCTTTTAAAAGCTGTTTTATTAAGGCAGTTTTACACATTCACCGAACAACATCTTCCTGTCCAAATTATGGCAAAGTTGACCGTGAGAAAGTCATCCGCTGTCCCGAGGCTGTCATGTCTCTGCGACTCCTAGCGAACCCGGAAATATTGATACACTGCTTCGAAGGGCGCTTCCGGTGTTCAATTCCGCTGTGAAAAAGGTCTATTGTTTTGACTTCGATTTTCCCCCGAGCATGTTCTGATATTATTGGCACACATAATCACCAAATTCAGCGCACGGAAAACGGGGATTGGTGGAGAAAATGACTGGCAAGATTGTGAGCCAATCATTCCAGCGCACGAAAGAAAATAGACGAATAGCGACAAGGGGCGGACATTTTGAAGTGAGCGAGGAAAAATGGCGACCATCGCGATGAAGTTGAACGGGACAATTTACACAACAATAATGGATTTACCGCACAGTCTGTCAAACAAAATTAAAGTGTCGGCGTTATTAGTTTTAATACTCGCTTTTGTAAGTAGTAGCAATGGAGAAAACACATATGAAGATAACTCTTATGAATTTCTCAAGCGGGAGTATTCGCTGAGTAAGCCGTACCAAGGTAAGTGTCTATTCCTATTCACCCAGTGACGTTAAACCGGTGTCCTGCCAAAAGTGACACCTGTTTCAGCATGGTCATTTAGTTAAGCACAAAACACTTCAGCGAAAGCATGGGACGATCTGTTTGTCCGATGGCTCCTTCGTTACTGTGGTTGCTATTTTCTTGCTGTCTTAAGTGTGGCAGGTTTATTTCGTAACTGCAGTGATTGCACCCACTAGGGCGGAAGTTCATGACAGTTATATATATTCCGGTGCATATGCTTCAAGGCAAGACACTGCAGGTTAATGTGCACATAAATAAATAATTTATCACCATACTCCCTTTTTGTTGATTGCATTAAGATTTTGAAAGTCTTTTCATTACATATTTTCTAAAATCTTATGGTTACAAATGCCAATAAGTCCTTATTTAAACATGTGCTACGTTGCCTAGATTTCTTCCAAAAAAAAAAAAAAAAAATCTGAACATTGGATGAAAAGTCTTGTTTTGTTGTTGTTATTGACATTAGAGTCAAAGGTTTTTAAAGAGGGGTTTTGAGCTACTTTTTTATCACTCCATAATTCAGAAAATAGGAAGAAGCGAAGGCAAATAAATTTATTTGAAGTATTTTCATGACACAAAGTGTTGTATTCTATCAAGCAAATTATGTATGAAAATATTCAAATGTGGGGCGTCATGGTGGCACAGTGGGTAACATGATCACAACCCAGTGTTGGGTTGCAGCTGGAAGGGCTTCCGCTGTGTAAAACATGCTTGATAACTGACGGTTCATTCCACTGTGGTGACCCCTGATTAATAAAGTAAACTAAGCCAAAAAAGAAAATCAAGGAATGAATATTCGTATTTAAATCTTCAAATTATAAGGCAGCAAACTTTGCTGTCTCATCTAAGTGCTGCAGAAGTTTTTTTTATTATTATTGAGAAACTGTCTTGTTAAAATATAATAATAAAAATGCTTTTTATTTGTAATGTGCTTTTATCAAACTCAAAGCTCTACAAGGCAAAAAAAAAACTGTAAAAACAATAAGTAGGAAAGCATAACAATAAATAATATTTACAATATATCACTCATTAAATACACTACTAAAGAGTTGAGTCTTAAAAAGCTTCTTAAAACAGTCCAGAGACACGCCTTTCCTAATGGTAATGGGTAATGCATTTCATAATTCCAAGTCTGCAGCGTGGTTGGAACAGGGTAAGACCCGAAGCAGAGCGAAGACTGCGAGCAGGACTAGAAAGTGTCACAAGATCACAGATGTAATCAGGAGCTAGCCTATGGACTGCTTTATAAGTTCAATATGTGCTTAAAATCAATATGTGACCTATTATAAATATGCATTTTAACTGAAAGTAAATAGATAAAGTGCAATAAAAGAAACACTGAAAAGTTAATTTTTTTAATTTTAGTTAAAAACAGAAAAAAAAATCACCTCCCAAAAAAGCCTAAGATCTCATAATTGGCATGGGCATGAAAAAAGTTTTTGTCTGCAGCGTCTTGCCTTAATGAACAACATGAACTCAGTGTATTGAGTCACTGCATTTGCTACTCATAGGGCAAGGCAAGCTTTTTTTTTTTTTTTTATAAAGAGTGCAAATAACAACCATAGTTGATCCAAACTAATTGCTTTACAATAAAAAAGAACAAATAAGAATTAAAAATAGAAAAGAAAAAAAATTACAGAATAAAATTTAAGAATAAAAATAACATGTATGCATCAATCGAACATTATGAAAAACTTCTAGAAAGAAATGCGTCTTTAGATTAGATTTAAAAGCATCCAATGGTAAAGAATTCCTGATGTTCAGACGGAGACTGTATCAAAGCTTTGGCACTGCAACACAGAAAGCTCGATAATCTTTTGATTTACAGTGAGAATGTGGGACAGACGTGTCACGATGGCGCAGTGGGTAGCACGATCGCCTCACAGCAAGAACGTTGCTGGTTCGAGTTGGATCAGTTGGCATTTCTGTGTGGAGTTTGCATGTTCTCCCCGTGATCGTGTGAGTTTCCTCCGGGTGCTCTGGTTTCCTCCACAGTCCAAAGACATGTGGTACAGGTGAATTGGGTAAGCTAAATTGTCCGTAGTGTATGTGTGTAAATGAGTGTGTATGAATGTTTCCCAGTGATGGGTTGTGGCTGGAAGGGCACCCGCTGTGTAAAACATATGCTGGATAAGTTAGTGGTTCATTCTGCTGTGGCGAATTAATAAAGCGACTAAGCCAGAAAGAAAATGAACAAATAAATGAATGGGACAGATAAAAGGAACTGATCATCACAGGATCTTAATGGCCTACAGGCTGTATGTGGCCCAATAATGTCACAGATATAGACCGGGGCAGAGTTTTTCTATTGCCTTTTATGTAAAAAAAAAAAAGTCTTAAAATCTCAACACTGAATTTCATGGGAGGCTAATGCAATAAGGCAAGAAGCCTTTTTTTGTTCTTGTTAACAATCAGGCTGCTGCATTCTGAACAAACTGTAACTGAGACAGTGTGTTGACTGAGGTGGGCCAAAGTACAGAGAGTTACAGTTGTTCAGCCAAGAGGAAATTAAGGTGTGAATTATAATTTGTAGACCTTTAGATACAGCTTAGATGAGATAGCTGGTTAGAAATAAAAATAAAACAGGCTAAATAAATCAATGGACAAATATTATGACGCTTGTGTTTCTTAGGAATTAACATGACAGAAACGTGTATATTGAGATTAATCTTGATGCATGTTCACAGGACTGGGCTCCTCCAGCTCGTCACACTGGGAGTTTATGGGCAACACCATGGTCATGCCTGAACACATACGGCTGACACCAGACATGCAGAGCAGACAAGGAGCCGTGTGGAGTCGTATTGTAAGTGTGAATGACAGGAAAACCTGAAACACCACCTAGGATCCAATCTAGAGTGGCAGCCTATTAGACAAAGAGGCTGCTGAGATGTTGGTTGGTAGACAAAAAGTTGTTAGTCATTGTATTTGTGTTTGTAGCCCTGTTACCTGAGGGACTGGGAGCTTCAAGTTCAGTTTAAGATCCATGGAGAGGGCAAGAAGAACCTGAATGGGGATGGCCTTGCAATATGGCTGACCAAAGAGCGAATGCAAATAGGTAAGAGGTCATCGTTATGATAATAAACTCACAGAATATTGTCTGTATATATTATAGAATCAATGTTCCATGATATGCCTGTAACGGAGATTTTTCACTTGCTTTTTTTTTAGGTCAGGTGTTTGGAAGCGCCAACATTTTTACTGGTTTGGGTATTTTTGTGGACACTTATCCAAACGATGATAAGCAGCACGAGGTAAATGTGAAACATGAAATTAGTAATATGAAACTACTCTACATATCAGGTTTTAGATACAGTTGAAGTCAGAATTATTTTATTTTTTATAAATTTCCTTGCTCTATTAAACATCATTTGGCAAATATTTAAAATAGAAAAAAATACAGAGGGGGGCTAAAAAATCTGACAACTGTAAATCCACACAAAATTAAAATATCATATTAATTTGCTTACCCTCATCCCATCCATCATGAAGATGACAATTGTTTACTTCAGTGTAAAATAAAAGAATATTTTTAGCTGGAATCCATGGTGATTCATAAAATGCTTAAAAATTCTAAATACAAAAAGATATACAGACAAAACCAATTAAAATAAGCACATGTTGCTTCTGCCTATACACCAAGGTCTTAGGAAGTGAAATCAGTTTCAGATTGATCGGTTTGCTTCATAAGAGCTCAAAATATGTTTGGAAGTCACAGGTATTAAATTTAAAAATTGTAAGTTTTATTTATCATTATGTTTCTGTATGTGCTTTTTTGACTTTCAAAGTATTGTTGACTTATGAGTAATCAAGAACCACAATTTCAGCAACAACAACAAAAAAAATGCTTATCTAAAGGTACTTACATCTTGGATGACTAGTGTAGTTACAGAAAATGTAATATTTTGGATTTACAACAAATTCTATTTTTTGGGGTCAACTATGCTTTTAAGAAACAGTATATTTAGTTATATGATTGTGCAATGATATGTTTTGTAATAGCACAAACCTTAACTTGCAAGTGAGAAATTCTCTCTCGTTTCTGTCTCTCATTCAGAGAACGTTTCCATTCATCTCCGCAATGGTTGGGAATGGAAGTGTTGCGTATGATCATGACCGTGACGGACGAACTACTGATCTTGGTGGTTGTACTGCTCACGTTCGCAACGTTGAGCATGACACATTTGTCCTGATCAGATACATGAGGAGCAGACTAACAGTAAGAATCATCTTAAACTCTGTGTTTCTTAATCCAGCCAGAGAAATGTGTGCATCCACTACTGTTGTAAAATGTATGAAGCATGATCTATTGGATTGTCTTTGGGTTTTAATTCTGTGAGGAATTTATAAATTCAGTTCAACATCGTTAATCTAAATGCATTTTTTGAGATTTTAGCAAAAATACATTATAAAACTTTAATATAGTTTATGTCTCCGGAACTGGGTTGCAGCTGGAAGGGCATCCGCTGCATAAACACATGCTGGAATAGTTGGCAGTTCATTCAGCTGTGGTAGCTCCTAATAAATAAGGCAATAAGCTGAAGGAAAATGAATTAATGTCTCCAATATACTTTTTCTCACCTCGAAAATGGTCATAGATACTGGCATGACGTTAAATAGACAAACAATTCCACTGCTGCTCTACTATAGTCAGTAATTTTGACATCTTTAAGAAAAAAACAACAGAACTAATTGGTCCACTTGTAATGTCAACAAGATTTTTACATTGGAAACCTTCTTTAATTAGTAATAGGCTGTTTTGTCCTGTTTGTTTGTTTTGTTTCTATCTGAAATCTATATCAATAGACATGCTTCAAGGCTTGAAAGTAAATCTTGTTTCAGTGAAAGCTCTTATTGCATAATGACCTTTTAAATTGCATTTGTTCTTCATGACTTCAGTTTACTTGATCTTACGATGATGGAGACTAAGTTTTAGTTAGACAAACTTTCACTTTAGTATGCACTTCATTTGCTGTACTGTCTCTTTCAGATTATGACTGATATTGAAGGGAAGCAGGAGTGGAAGGACTGTCTGGATATGCCTGGAGTAAGACTGCCACAGGGATACTACTTTGGTGTCTCATCCGCAACTGGAGATTTATCAGGTTTGGACAAATAAAATGAGTTATTTACTCTTATTTTAGTCCATTAGTTATTCATATCTAGTGCAAACTGCAGTATGTATCAATATCCCCATCCAGTTTAAAGCATGTATTTGTATATTAAACGTGGATCATTCAAATTTTAACCATCATTCAAAGTAAACTGTTTTCAGAGCAGTATCTGCCTGTATTCATATATGTGGCCAGCGGCAAGACTTATGACTTAAAACATGAAACAGTAAATTAATCAATGCTAAATTAAATACATGTAAAACCCCTTTGGTTTCCTATTTGTCTTTTTTAAAAGAGTAAGGGTGGGAATTGGAAACTCCTTCCCAACAATCCATTGTTATAACCATACTTGTAGTCACAATAGAATATTATTAGGATTTTAAATATATTGCTATATTATGTGATCTATTGCAATTTGTTACCCATTTTCAACTCCAAATTATGTCTTCAAAGTAAAACTTTGATCAAAACTTTAATGACTTAACTGTTGTGAATGTTTTTTTACCTGTTGAAAATGCATTTTTCTGTGACACTACCATGTTTGTTTTACTTAAATAACTGGCTCATCAGAAGAAAAAAACAACTTGTGTTTAAAACCACGATCTAGTGTGGACTGTAAAGAAACTGATTTTCAAATTAAACCAAATAGTTTCCTAAAAATATTAGCATCAACATGGGCATTTCTTTTTTTGTCATATTAACCAACAAGAATCATTAGCCACATTATTTTCCCATGTGTTGTATTTAGATAACCATGACCTGGTCTCTTTCAAGCTCTATGAGCTCACAGTGGAACGCAGTCCTGAAGAGGAAGAGGAGCAGCAGGAGATCACACTACCTAGTGTTGACTACCGAGTGGACCCTAATGGTAATAACCACAAAATTATTTCTTATTATATATGCTCTTGGGTCTGGGTGATTAAGCGAGGGCAATTATTTCTGTGCGTTATTTTCAGTAAAACTCCAGTTTGTTCTGATGCAGCGTTAACTGCACTGAGCTGTAGTTCACCAACGATCTACGCAAATTTAGTTTTTAAAATGTAATTTGATTTAATCTGTCAATAATGACATTGATATAATGATTCTGTTATGATGAAAGCCATTGTGGTAAAAACTGCATATGAAAATACCATATATAATAACAAGTTTTTACTTCAAACTTACTTCAAAACAGCTGAGTGCTTGAGATTTTGTAGTCGCGCGTTTCTTAGTCCCGCTTGACTAATTAATGCAGTTAAGGCCCATTGCAAATTCTACCCCTTAGCCCTTCCCCTTACCCCTTGTTTTTCACGATTAACGATGACATAAAGAATGACACTGGAATACCCTGTCAGAAAAGTCTGGTGACCGGTAATTGCATTTAGAGTGTCTGCTATAATGTTGTTTTTGTGTGTTTACATCGATGAATAAGACCGCTTTTTTAAATGCACAATACACTTGTATGAGTTATTGCCAGATTATATTGTCATGATAACATAATATCGTTGCCTTCAGTGATTTCCTGAAGATAAATACCCACAAAAATGCAACTGGAATAACAACAGCAGTCGCGATCGTCAATCTCATATGAAGCAAGAGATCGCAATGACATATGATGATGTGTTGTAGTGCTTTCAATTTCTTAGAGGTAAATTTTAAGCCCTTCCCCTTTACACTCTGTTTCAAGGAAGGGGATGGGGTACTAAAATAGAATCGGGATTTAGCCTAAGTCTTCTGTCTACTCAGCAACACTATGGGGATTTCCAGGGTTTTTTGATGTTTGGAGTTTCCGCACAATATCGCCCTCTGGATTTTATAACGGAATTACTACCGATTACTCCGTGCTTCCCTGACAAGATGTACATGATAATCTTAGCTTTGCTCATTTGCGGATGTTTTACAGAGGAGTACAAATCCCTTTGTATCTCACAATTAAGTTCTAGTGTTTGTTTTTTCTTTACACAGTTCACGTGGAGGATGAAGGAAGGAGCATCATCACCACCTTCTTCATCTTCATCGTCTCTGTCGTTGCACTGGTCGTGGTGATCGTGGTCATTCTCTTCCTATATAGTCAATATAAAGACAGCCGCCGCAAGCGCTTCTATTGATCTACTGATTGAAGAGAGCAAAGACATGCCATGAGAGATCCAATGTGAGTTTGACTGGCTTTTTTGTTTTGTTGTTTTTTGCAAAAAGAACCATTTCTGGTTCACTCCAACAGAAAGGAACTGAAGGCCAACACTGAACTAGAAGCCATAGCTGATCTCTCAGTATGAAAACAGACCACCTCAATCATCAATATCATCTCAAAAACAAACTGTTGAAGAGTGTTTGAGAGACTGTGCGTCTTTTTTTTTTTTTTTTTTGAAGGTCTCTTCAGATATTTGTGCGTTTTTCTGTAATTTTTGTACCAATTACACTGACCTTGGCCTTTCTCCCTGTGACAGCATTTACAGAGGCTAAAGAGTTCAACAAACTATGGTATTCTCAGGTTGTCAACTGTAACGCAACTGCAGAAGTCCCAGAAGCCCTGGTGCTTGTTTTTTTTTATGATCAAAAGAAGAAACTCGGTCACCAGACTTCAGTAAATCATCTTATCCACCACACTCGCTAAATAGTCAAAGATCATGTTTTAAGATTTGTAAAATTAATTGAGATTTATTTCACCTTTATACAAGTAATGCTGGCCAGCCGTGCTCTTCTTAACCGACAGTAGCAACCGACAGTGTGAACGTGAATAAAATAGTTTCTCCAAATTTGTGTTTCGTAATAAATGATAGATACTTGATGTCTTTTGTTATATGTGGTCCTGTTTAATGTTATTCAACACTGCACTGAACTGCTCGGCCATATGTAGCTTGTCTAAAGTTACTTTGGTTTGTGAAACATGATTTAATTAACTATGATTTTTGTGTGAAACCTTTATTTTACGTGTCAATGGCCTTATTTGAATACTATGTTCAATTGTTTTGATGTGCTGGACAATATAACAACAGAAATGAACGAAAACGTGGTTTCTTGAGTTTACTTTTATCTTGATAGTTTTTCAATAATTGAAGATATCCAGTTGTTTTCCTTCCATGCTGCAGTTTTTCCTGTCACTTCTAGTTGCTGCTGTTTACAGTTATTCAAGGTTTGCTGATTGTCTGTATAATGGCAGAGACTGTAGCTCAGTGATTGAGGAAGCTGCTGTATAAAACTGTTGTGTCTTTTGTCGTCTTAGTTTTTTCCACCATGTTTAATGCTCAAACTAAATTAAAGAAGTTTTTCTTGTATCTAGATTGTTGTTTATTACAAATAGGAATAATAATGTTATTTTAAAATATCACAACATGCATTTTTCTGTGTTCTATATAAATTAATTAATCTTTTGCTTTGAGCTATGCTGATCTGTATCAAGGTCTGAATTTTAAAAATGCGAATAAGAATATTTTTTTTAAAGAAATGCTATTACCTAAAGTTTATGGTAGCCAACAACTCTGTACTAGTTTTTAATGGAATCCGTAATATACTAGTATCTATCAAATGTAGGCCTACATAAAAATAGATACTATATACTGGATTAAAAATAAAAGCAAAAATCACTTTTCTAAGTGGTTTAAGCACAGTTTTGTGGCAACTGTGTGTAAATATAGCCAGTATATTCATATAACTATTTTTTTTTGGTAAAAAATATATTTATTAATTCTATTTTTTTTGTAATCGCACTTCATAAAACAGTATGCAGTAGCACTTTGATTGACATTCTCCCTTTGAACATGTCATCACAGGGGAAAAGTCACAACCATTATCAACAATCTCTCCTTCTCATTAGCATTAACAGTCCTGAGTGAGAAGCAGGCATCTATCATTAAAGTTCAAAACATTCACTTGAAGATAAAGTCAGCAACTAAAAGAATTATAAATGATCCACAAATAAACACTAGTCTCCATAGACTGCCTTCTTTTGAACACATAGTTGTTTATAGCTCTGCCTTTTCCTAAAGAAACACTCAAGGACATCTAAATATTATTTTACTTCTTGTAAAAAGAGGCATAATAGGTCCCTTTTAAAGTGGATTTCCATAATCATCAAGCTTTAAGCTTCTCAGCTCATAAATAAAACCATTTTAATGTTCTCACCACAGAGATACAAACATCTAAATTTCCTCACAATACTCACACTCAAGCGGTTTCAGAGTTTCTTTATTCTGTTGAAAACAAAAGGTTTCCAACATTTTTCTAAACAAAGTTGTCTGTAACAAGACATTGAAACAAATAAATGATGACAGAATTTTCAGTTTTGGGTGAACTATCCCTTTAAGTAGCCTTGTTTGGACATGTAAGGGACGAATCCTGTAGATGGCAATATCACTTCTGTAACCCCATTGCTCAGTACAAATGTACTAGAGTAAAGGATGCATGTATAACGTTGTCAAGTAGAGACTAAAAGTTGCTCATATTTTTGAGTCAAATCACAAAGTAACCAAACAGATGCTTAACAACAGTGACTACTTACATTTTACTCAAATGCTTGCTTAAACTAATGTTTGGAGTAAAGTTTGTAATTTCCGAAATGTGAAATGGCTTCTCATTTCAAACTATGATATAGAAGTTCATGGCTTATTTCAGTCGGAGGAACCAAAACTAGCCCGTTTCCACAAGAGGGGGAAGAGAGATAAAACTCATTAAATGTTATTTTCTCTCTCTCTCACTCTCTCTCACTCACTCACTCACACACACACACACAAGTATTAAAAGCTGTCATCGGGGCAGTTCCTTTGACTAATATGTGCACTTTAAGTAACTAATAGATGTCATTAAGTTTCTTTTTTTTGTAATTAAAAACAGGATATTTTTGAGGAATGATAGAAACCAGGAGCCATTGACATCCATTTTGTAGGAAAAAAAAAGATACTATGGAAGTCAATAGCTATTGGTTTCCATGCGTTCTTCGCAAATAAAAGATGAAACTGTAGAACTGATGGTAACGCAATTGTCATTTTTGTGTGAACTATCCCATTAAGCTTTGAAGCAGGGGTGCCCGAACTTTTTCTTAAGAAGGGCCAAAAACCAAACTTGATTGAGGCTAGAGGGCTGAAAGTAAATATTTGCCATGGGTAATTCCTAATTTATTTAGTAGTGTTTAACAATGACTAGAAAACATTGCCTTAAGTTTTTTTTTTTGTTTTTTTTTTTACATTTTATAATGAACTTTTTAAAGTTAAAACAAAATCTGATTTATAACATAATTACAATAGTTTTTGCCTTGATTTGCTCACCAATGTCTTCTGCATAGCCCTCTCTCTGTCGAGTGAGAGTATCTACATTTTAAAATAACATCAGATTCATTTACGACATTTAATTACTACATTTAATTTCAGTTTGCTCTTAATAAAATAAACAAAAAAGCAATAAAACAATCTAAAAAAGAATACGTCAAATTAGAAATGACGAAAAAGACATTTACCCCAACCCTCTCCATCACTCTCCACTCAGATGGCATGGCGGGCCAAATCAAAGGTTACAATGGGCCAACTTTGGCATGTTGGCCCTACTTTGGGCATCTTTGCTTTAGAGCTTTTCCATTCAATACAGCAAAAATAACAAACGAGTTCTCTAAATAAAAAAGTGTTTGGTGTCTCCACTACTAATTTGTTTGACTTCATTACTGTTATTGTTCATCATAGTGAAGTGTGATAAATTTAAGCTTCTTTTCTTCTTGTCCACAAAGACAAAGTTTGGTATTTTTGTGATCTATTGCAATTTGGTGCTAGCATATCTGAAGGACAACACTGAACCCCTGCTGGACCTCCTGGAGTTTGCCTATAGAGCAAACATGTCTGTGGATGATGCAGTAAACATGGAACTGCATTATACCCTACAACACCTGGACAAACCAGGGAACTACGCAAGGATGCTCTTCGTGGACTTAAGTTCTGCCTTCAACACCATCCTCCCATCACTGCTCGAGTACAAACTGACCCAGCTCTCAGTTCCTAGCTCTGTCTGTCAAAAGATCACCAGCTTTCCGACAGATAGACAACAGCTAGTCAGAATGGTCAAAATCACATCTAACAGTGTTGTGGTTTTCGGATTGTCTCTTAATGAGTCAAACTCAGACTGGGGGTTATGAATATCAGAAGAATATACTTTATTGGAATATTTTCCAAAAAAGCAGAGACAGCCTGGAGCAGACCCACCTCAGTCTCTCCCCAGGACAAATCTAAAGTGTCTGTGTTCTTCACAATATTTACACTGATTTCCTCTGCACCTCTCTCGTTGTAACTCTGACCATTTTAGGATGTTTTCTCTTTACTGAGGGGTTTAGTATATCTTTAGGTGCTCGTTATTCTGGGCCCTGTCCCCTACAATGCAAACATCTGATTTGAGTTCTTTCTCCATATATTCAATCTTGTCTGAGTGTTTACATACCTTGGCGTGATGGTATATTATTGTCATAATGTCACTCATTCTCCTAAAAACCTCTCACAATTATAACTTCATATTGCAGCTCCAAACAATAATGACCTTACACATCCCTCAACAGGACACCCGTTCTACACACACCACCAGCTGTCACCTTCTCAAATTACACCAGTTGTTGCCTCTTTTCCTCAAAATACATGTCTAAGCATCTCTAGGTGGTTATATAGATAGACATCTTCATTGCACACTTATAAAGAATAAAATAATCTTCTTCAACAGCAGCACCATCAGCACTGGTGCCCCCAAGGAATGTGTTCTCGTCACTGCAAAAGACCCCTCAATCAAGCTCCTGAAGTTTGCGGATGAAACTACTGTAAACGGCCTTATCCGAAATGGTGACGAGTCTGCATACAGACAGGAGGTGGAGTGGCTGGTGTTATGGTGCAGATACAACAACCTGGAGCTGAACAAGCTCAAAACAGAAGAGATGATAGTGAACTTTAGGAGAAACCCCCCTGCACTCCCCCCACTCGCCATCATGAAGAGTCATTAAGGTTTCTGGACACCACCATCTCTTAGGATCTGAAGCGGGACATTCACATAGACTCTATTGTGAAGAAAGCCCAGCATAGACTGCATTTTCTTCGTCAGCTGAGGAAGGTTAACCTGCCACAGGAACTGCTCGAACAGTTCTACTCAGCTGTCATCCAATCCATCCTCTGCACTTCAATCACCGACTGGTTTGGCTCAGCTTCCGAAACCGACCTCCGTAGACTACAGCTAATAGTCCGGACTGCTGAACAAAACACTGGCACTACCCTTCCTACACTTCAAGAACTGTACTCTTCCAGAGTGAGTTAAAGGACTCGCAAAATCACTCTGGACCCCTCACACCCAGCACACTTCCTGTTTGAACTATTACCGTTTGGTCGGCGCTTCAGAGCACCGAGCACAAAAACAGCCAGACACAGGAAAAGTTTCTTTCTTCAGGCCATCTACCTCATGAACACTTAAATATTCCCCAACTGTGCAATAACGTTCAATACTTTCTAATACGCACTTGTACACAGCACCTTATATCAATATACAATGCAATACTTTCTCCACACGCATTTGTACACAGCACCTTATAACTTGTATATCTATAACAAATCTGTACAAACAATTCAACATTCAGAGCTTTTAGTCTAACATCGTCTCTGTTTGGCGGTTCATTCTGCTGTGGCGACCCCAGATTAATAAAGGGACTAAGCCGAAAATGTACACTGTAAATGTACACTGGAATCTTCTGTAGCCTAAACAAATTCCTTGTGTGTGTTAGCACACGTCAATAAAACCAATTCTGATCTAACCTTATATAACCCTGATCATGGTATGACAACAATTAATGCAGAGTTCTCAACTTCGCACCATTTTAACATCCAGTATTTGTGTCAATGACAAAAACATCACACCACTGCTACATAAAACTAATTACAATATGTTAACATTGTTTTTTTTAAAGGTTGTCAACTAAAATATTATAGAAAAAAATCAAGATGAAATGCAGGGAACAAAAATAAACATTCCAAAAATAAATTTCTCGCTAATATATATTTTTCTATCGAGTTTCATTTCCCCTTCTCCATCAGTTACCAGTAAAGGCAGAAGCTTTGAATATGGTAATTACTTAATAAATGCTGACACATTAGGGTGTAAAATAACAACAGGCATGACCATTTCTTTCCCCTGGAATATATTCTGATCTCATTTTTGTCTCAGTGTGTTTAAGATAAACGTAGGCCATAAGTTAAAGATTTAAAAATCAGGAGTTTACAATTCTAAAAAAATTTATTTTTGGCCAAATTCTACCACAAAACACATGTGGGGGTCTATTATTTAATTCACATCTACAGCTGCAGCTTTACTGTTTCATTAAAGTCAAAAGTTCAATAGTTTCTCAGTTGCACGTTAGTCTTTGTGGCTGTTTACTGATGAAGGTGAAGGATAAATAGATGTGTGGTTTGTTTTAGCATGCAGTAAAAGCTCGAGTGGTTTCTTGTGCATATCTTCGCTGAGTATTTTGGGTCCATCATGTTGTGATAGTGAATCATACATTTTTTTTTTCCATGCCACCTCTTTCTTTGTGTCATTGGTCCTCTTGAACACCCCTGTACTGTCAGTTAGACACTGCGTCATTTACAGAGGAAGTAAGAACTGATGCCTCCCACTAAGACCGACACACACGAAACAAGTTCAGCGCAGGGCGAGACCAGATCTTTACACTGGGGAATATTCTTTAACACATCTTTACAGAGTAAATTGAAGGTAACAATCGGAATTTTATAACTTTTTTTTATATTTTAATGATGTTCAAGCTTATTTTTAAGTAATATTGAGGTTTGGTACTATGTAATTAGATCTTTCGTTTAAAAAATCAACGATGAGTATGAAATGTCAAGCTGTTGTTTAACAGTGTTTCTAATGATTAACTTCATATTCATATTTATTGACCGATATTCAATTTTTTTTTCTTTTAAAATATTTTCTGTTAATATTTTTGTCCGGCCTGTTACATTTGTGTATGCGTTTCGCACTTGAAAATGAAAACAATTTAGGTTATATCGAGGTTTTTTTTCTGTTGGAGGAAGTTACACAGGAAATACATCACAGAGCCTCAAATGCACTTGAGCTCCATTTAGTATTTTCATGTTAGACATTCTTCCACCATCAGTTTCGGCTCAGGAAACGTTTATTTTTTTCCTTTCTCTAACTTGACTGAGTCTGGGATCTTCATTTTGGGGAAGAACATAAGGTCTAAATGTGAGATAAGAGTTTGACCTCAGACTCGGTGTGTTTGATAACCTTGCAGATCTGAGCAGCGCAGAGGAAGATGTCGTGCCTCAAGTGTCTGAAGTACATCATGTGTGTGGTGAACTTCATCTTTTTTGTACGTATCCATTTGCGGACTGTCATGTTATGGTTTTTCTGACGGCTTTTTGTGTGTAAAAGACATTGCAAACCCTGGGTTATGCCTATATTTTTCATTATTTAATAGGTTTCATACTTATACACTGTAAAATATGTAATGGCAAAAATTAAAGACAACAAATATTATATTTATGTTGCTTTACCTTATTTTAATTTAAGTTAATCAGGTTTCAAATATTTTTTTTAAGTTATACAAAGTTTAACTTAATATTTTAGTCAGTAATATTGATGTAAATTAAGATGACTAGAAAAGTTCATTTGATTCAACAAAACAAAAAATGAAGGAAGGTTGTTGTTTTTTACAGGGTAAACAATAAAGAAGCCTTAATTTTAGGAGTGTGTTCACATATATGAAGTGTCAACTACACTCTTAAAAATAAATGATCTTTATGGCTTTGATGGTTCCAAATAAAACCTTAAAAAACTTTAATATCCATGGAAAATTTTCATTCCAAATCATTTCATTCATACTGTACCAAGATTTCTTTTTCTTTCTGTAATTAAAAATATATATACTTTTTTAGGAACAAAAATAAACTTTTAATAAAGCGACAATGTCAGTATGTTTACCCATACCAAAGGTTAGCATTTCCTCCACAAGAGCTAGCTCAGCTTTTTCCAGTAACTTTTAATCCAATTAGAAAATGAAATCTAGGATCAGTTTGAGGCCTACAAACTATCAGTTGAAGTAAAAGCTACTCACCGACTATCAACAAAGAGCTTTGAGGCTTTATGTCTTCAAAACCACTTAGCTTAATTATTCTTATTTCAAAAACAATTCATCTTAAATTAGAATATTTAGCAATGCTGTACAAGTAGAAGTTGTGTATATGTATGAGCAATATCACAAGAGTAGCAGTGCGATATGGCTGTATATCAGCACTGGTGGGAGGCGTGCGTTGGCATGAGGCCGCAGGCTAAAGGCTTAGTGCCCCCACCAGTGTGATATACAGCCATATTGCACTGCCACGAGTGTGATATTGCGTTTATACAACAGTTTGACGGCATAGTTTCCACTGACTGTTAAAGTGCAAACATATTTCATGATATGAGCGATGATGATTTAATGACACTGTTAGTTACACAGCATTGTACATGTTTTGCGCTTTAATGCAATATTAACCCACAATAACAAGTGCTGAAGGATTCATAACCCAGGGTCAGAAGCGGTCTAAATATTTACACTGCCAAGGAATAACTTTAAGGACTATAAGACAACAAGTCTTGAGGCTGTGTGTTTTGGTTATTATTCTCGCTACAGATCTGTGGAGCTGCGATCTTTGGAATGGGGATCTATTTAATGACGTTCTCTAGGCTTTCTTTACTGCCCAGTCTTCAGGCTATGAGCATCGCCAACACACTCTTCATCACTGGCATCATCATCACCTGCGTCTCCTTCCTCGGTTTTCTTGGAGCCCTTAAAGAAAATCGCTGCCTGCTAATATCTGTAAGTTTCATACTTGTATATAAATAGGGCATCCCTGTCAACATTGGGATGTTGTCAAAAAAAAGAGATAACGCCCCCAATAGCACCCACCAAGATCGAGGTTTAGAAATGATTATTAATATTGTTATGTATATGGCTGTTCAAACACACACCCAAAACCCAGAGTGTCCACTTTTGTGCTGCTTCAAATCGCGTGTACAGAATCCGCTTGGGAAACAGTGTCTTTATTAATAAGGAAGGAGCATGTCTGACAGTCACACACTGCTTCATGAACTGGCTGTTTTGAGGATTGCAGGCGCAGAGGTGCCTTTAATGGAAAGCACAAAACAGTTTGTATATAAGAGCAAGGGGTGTGCCCTGGTGGTTTGGCGGTATGGTTTGCGTATAGGGAGGTTTCGCTCTTTAATGTTTATTGCCACCCTTAAAAAAATTGAAAATACAGGAGAAATACGGGAGAATACATTTACGAGACAATAGCAGGATAAAACAGGGTTGACAGGTATGAAATAGGGTGACCAAAATTATGGGGTTCTGCAACCGGTTAATATTGGAATAAAAAAATAAAAATAAAACTCCAGTGGAGTTTACATTACAATTAACTGAACTTTAGCGGTGCAAAGTGGACCAAAGCAGTTTCCATTTACTAGAACTTCTATGTTAAAATGCTTTGACACAATCTACATTTTAAAAAGAGCTATAGAAATAAATATGAATTAAACTGAATTGAACTGAACTGAATCAGTGTCGAAATAGCGATTCTGGGCCCCCTGGCTAATTTGTACGCCAGGCCCCTTACTCCAATCATCTCATCTTCTTTCCACATGTTGCAACAATGAATAGCTATGTTTCCATCCACCCATTTTTATGTGCTATTTAAACTAAATTGCATTAAAAAATCTAAACGGAAATACAAAGATGTGTATAAATGTCTAAACTGTGCATAAAAAACGCAAACGCACAACTAAGTAATGGATTTTGCTTAAACAGACAACAAAAATAAGCATGAGGGGATGGCATTAATAAACAAACCAGCAGACTGACCACATTGTTAAAAATATAAAATGTTGTTTTGGTCATTCTAAAATCCCTCCATCAAGTGGTTTGGTATTATTACCTCCAGAACTGTCTTGAGCGGCTGCGCTCTCAAAGAGCGGTCTCGCGCCTCCAAAAGCCAGTTCATGTTTATTGTGCAAGTAATTTATTATATAAGAAAAAAAGACCCACGTTTGCTTCTCTCACAGCAATTTCAGTTTTCTTTTTGATATTTGGCACCACTTTATCAGAAAGTGGCGACTTTATTTGCTTTGAACATTTTATGCCATATTCAAGTTTTGCATATTTTTAATTTGCATCTTTGGATGGAAACATTTCTAATCCAGACCCAGGCAGAATCTGCAGACATGTTTTGCTATTTCTGTGCAGAGGTTTGTGAAATAAATCTGTGGATTTATGCAGAATTATTTGGAGAGAACAAAAAGATTAAAACATAAAATAAAAATTATAACTTTTTAGCCTTTTATTCAAGGCAATTAAGCTTATATAAGTTTATTTAAGGTAAAGTAAGTCTCTCATAACATATATCTACTAAAAGAGAAAAATATTAGTTTGTAAACTATTATAAATAAATCATATAAACAGTTGTATATCATTCAATAATACTACTGAAATTAATATAAAAAGTTAATAATGATGTACAGACACACACAAGTAAATAATAGACTAGACGGTGGGCTTAAAAAATCTGAGGAAATGAGAGATGAAACAGAACTACATTTGATGAGTTTATTAAATTAACTGAAATTATACATTCATAGCCATATACTATATAAAGATATAATATACTTTTATTTATTTAAAGCCCATCAGCAACTATATATTCATTTTGAACAGCATTTCAAAATATTGTTAAATCATGGAACAACGTCAATAAAATGTACAACCCCAAATCAGAAAAAGTTGGGACAGTATGGAAAATGCAAATAATAAAGGAATGTAGTGATTTCCAAATTTACTTTGACTTGTATTTCACTGCAGACAATATAAACACAAAATATTTCATGTTGTTTTGTCTGGTCAACTTCATTTCATTTGTAAATATTCATCCTTCCCTGTCATTCAGACCTACAACATATTCCAAAAATGTTGGGACAGGAGCAATTTAGGGTTAGTAATTAGGTAAATTGGTAATAATGCGATTTAAAACAGGTAATGTCAACAGTTAATCATAATTTGGTACAAAAGCAGCACTGCAGAAAGGTCGAGTCCTTTAGGAACAAAGATGGGCAGAGGATCGGCCAAGGAATCTGAAGGAATTTCAAAGCGCAAAATGAGACAACAAAGACCCTGTACTGTTGACCAATTTAAGACTTGTTTGCAGAAAGAATGGGACAAAATTACACTTGAAACACTACAGCAGTTGGTATCTTCAGTCCTTAAACCTATTTTAAATGTTGTGGAAAGGAATGGCAGCATTACAAAGTGACAAATACTTTACTTTTTCTACTTTTTTTTTTTATGTGTTGCAAGAGCCAAAATTGGAATGTTTAAAAAATACAAGAACATCATAAGGAACACAATAAATATTGTTGGTTGGATTGTCTGCAATGAAATACAAGTCAAATTCAATTTAGAAATCACTACTTTCCCTTTTTTTTTCTGTGTTTTCCATACTGTCCCAACCTTTTGTGATTTGGGGTTGCATATATGTAGGTAACAAATTACAGCTACCTCTGGAATGCCAATCAGAACCTAAAACTCTTTTGTTAGCAATAAAAATAAACATAGACTGTTAACATTCACTGAGTGTTAAATCTGCTCTCCCTACATTGCTTCTTTTCCCTTACACTTTCCTGATACCCATTAAAGCTGATTTTTGATTTATTGACATTTTTTTAATGAAATCTCTATTTCTTTGGTTTAGTTCTTCATCCTTCTGTTCATTCTTATGCTGGCTGAGTTGGCTGCTGCATGTTTGATGCTTATGTATGAGTCAAAGGTAACCAGCAACAATAAATATACTGACGTTATATCAAAAATATATTAAAGTATATTAAATATAATAATATTTTGGTAAAACTGTTTACGGAATTATGCTTTTTTTATAAAGATTGAGAACTTTATTAAAGATGACCTTGTAGACGGGTTAAACCAATCCATAAAAAACAGAAAACAACACAACACAACTGACGACTGGGACAAGGTCCAAGAGACTGTAAGTAAAATTTCTGTTGTTCTCGGGATTTACAATTTATTGCTATGTGTGTGGAAGTAAAATGTAACTTTGGTTTTATTCTGTAAATTACGCACGTTTTGTCCAAATAATGAAAAATATGAAAGAAATCCATAGTAAAACTAAATAAAAATTAATAAACATATTTTACTCATCTTGCTTTATAACATCAAACAAGTTTTTTTTGTGAAACTATGTGGCTTCTAATCACAGAATGAGGCAGAAATTAAATTATTTTAATTCTTTGACACAGATATGAAGAAATGAATTCAGATACAGTATGAAGGCTATTGCAGTGTATTGTATTATAAATGTACATAATTCTTAAGAACACCGATGACGAACACAAATCAGAAACTGTTAGTCTTGTGTTGCTTCCCTTTACGTTTCATCATCTGCATATTGCAAAAACCCTAACAAAAACTAATTTATTTTTTCCTTTTACATGAAATCGCCAATATATAAACTGAATTAAATTAACAATAAACCTCATAAGTACAAATATATTAAATTGATTGATTAAATTGACTATTGATTGAGTTGATTAAATTCTAATTATTTTATTATCACTAAGATACAGTGTTTATACATGTCTTATACATGTCATATCTGCAAGCCAGTATTTACAATACCGACCAAAAGTTTAGGCCACAGGTGTCAAACTCAGTTCCAAAAGGGCCGCAGCTCTGCACAGTTTAGTTCAAACCCTAATTAAACACAACTGATCAAACTAATTGAGTCCTTCAGGCTTGTTTGAAACCTACAGGTAAGTGTGTTGGAGCAGGGTTGGAACTAAACTGTGCAGGGCTTCGGCGCTCCAGGAATTGAGTTTGACACCCCTGGTTTAGGCTCAGTAGGTTTTTAAATGTTTTAAAATAAGCTTCTTCTGGTCACCAAGGCACCATTTATTTCATCAAAAATACAGTGCAAATTGTACAATTGTAAAATGTTATTGAACTATAAAATAACTGTTCAAAATGGTGTGATTACAGTGATTTCAATGATGAATTTTCAGCTTCATTACTCCAGTCTTCAGCGTCACATGATCCTTCAGAAATCACTCTAATATTATGTTTTATTATTATTATTAATATTGGTAATAGAAATAAAAGCAGTAATAAAAGCAATAATGACTGGAGTAATACTTTCATTTGAAACTACACACAATAAGCAGTTCTGCCTTGAAGAATAGAATCATTTTCTAAAAAAAAAAAAAAAAAAAAATGAACCCAAACCTTTGACCAGTAGTGTACAAGCTTTTTACTGAAACTACAGTAACTGCATTTAGCAAAATTATTATGACCTGCGGTCATAATACACAAAGATGTTTTGTAGAATGCTGCCAACCAAAAAGCTTCAGTGAGGTTTGTATTGTGAACAACTCCAGAAATGTGTTTAGTTTTTTTGTTTGTTTGTTTTGTTTTTAAAGCAAACACTATTTATATTTTTCCTTCTTTCACCAGTTTGGTTGCTGTGGCATTCAAAATGCTACAGACTGGCAAGGTTTTGTACCACAATCATGCAATATCTCTGGAACATCCAACTGGCATAAGGTAATACTGCTCTCACATACATGTGCAATCCAGTAAAACAACATTAAACCAGATATGAAGATGCACATCAACTGTATACATCTTACAATTCACCGTCATATTGCCTGTTGAATGTAGGGCTGTTTCAAATTGCTGGAGAACTCGTTTGAATCAAATCTCTTGAGCACGGGGATTGGCGTCATTGTTGTCTGCATTATTGAGGTAAGAGTTTTTCATTTGAGGCTTTATTTCTAAGCCATTCAAAATTAAAGCTACAATTCTTAAAGGTGTGAGGTAAAACTTACTTACTACACACTATAAATCATCTATTAAGCATTAGTAAACAGTGAATTTGTTAATCTACATTAATAGACATTAGTAAGCAGTTTAGACTTGTATTATTAAGTATATTATATTATACTTATAAGCACATTTACAATGTGTTTAATGATTGTATTTTCATAATTTATTATTATTCATTACTAAATTATTGCATTATTTACAAACCATTTGTATTTAAGAATAGTTATAGTTAGTTTTGGAATTGTTCAGAATGAGTTAGTAAATGACTAATAAACTCTTCAAATCAGCATTTATACAGTTAAGTATAAATAAGTCAAAAATATTAGCCCCCCCCCCCCCCCTAATTTTTAAATATTTCCCAAATTATGTTTAACAGAGAAAGGACATTTGTATAGTATGTCTGATCATATTTATTCTTCTGGAGGAAGTATTATTTGTTTTATTTTGGCTAGAATAAAAGCAGTTTTTAATTTTTAATAGCATTTTATGGTCAATTATTAGCCCCTTTAAGCTATATTTTCCGATATTCTACAGAACAAACCATCATTATACAATAACTTGCTTAATTACCCTCACCTGCCTAGTTAACCTAATTAATCTAGTTAAGTCTTTAAATGTCACTTTAAGCTGTATAGACAAGTATCTCGTAAAATATTATTTACAGTAATCATGGCAAAGATAGATCAGTTATTAGAAATGAGTTAATAAAAATATTATGTTTAGAAATTTGTAAAAAAAAAATTAAAAAATCTCTCCGTTAAACAGAAATTTGGGGTGGGGGGGATAAACAAGGGGACTAATAATTCTTACTTCAACTGTAGATTTTATTATTCAGGCATATAGTAATGATTACTATGTATGTTAATAAATGCTTTATTAACTCAACTACATGCAGCTTTGTAACCTAATCTAAAGTGAGGACTATTTATGTTTGTAAATCCCTTTTAAATGAAAATTGAACGCTCGGTATCAAATAAACAATTAATGTATGCAATCTTATCTAAAAAAAATACAATTACTGTACAGTTTACATATTGCTGAATAACAGGAGTAACAAAATACTATTAGAAATAAATACAATTAAATAAAATTGGATAAAACAACAATATAATAATTGAACAATATATTACGATACAACATTTCAAAGTTATTTAGCAAAGTTTAAACTACAGTTATTTTATTTTAGATAAGGTTGCAAAGATTTATGTTTCATTTGATACAGTTTCATTTGTGTATATTTAAATGAATAGAAATAAATAAAAGTCATTTTTTTGCCTTTAATTGTCATTTATAAGGGATTTATAAATTATGAATAGGCCTCTCTTTAGGTCACAAAACTGGATGAAGTTGAGTTAACAAAGCATTTATTAACATAGTAACCATTAATATATGCCTGAATAATAAGACATATAAATGTTAATTTGAATAGTTTAAAAATCCTTTAATTATGCATTCTGAATGATCTTAAAATAAAGTCATAATCATTAATCATTAAAAGGTATGAAAATACAATCATTAAGCACTCAAGCACATTTGTATTTGCATTTATAAGTCAAGAATGCAGCATTTGTTGCTGTATTTATAAACTGCTTACTAACGTCTATTAATGTAGAATTAATCCGTAACAAAGAATGAATTCACTATGTGCTAATGCTTAATGAATGATTCAAAGTGTATAGTTATAAAGTGTTATCAAAGCAAGTATTTTTGTCACTTATGCATCAATCTCTTTTTCTAGGTCTTGGGTATGTGCTTCTCCATGACCCTGTTCTGCCACATAAATCGATCTGGGTTAGGATACAAATAATATCCACTTCTGTAGGATTTCTTCTATATCTGGTGTTCTTATTAACAAGTGTCCTTTAAATGGCTTAATACAACAGGCTGGTTCTTTTGTTTGTTATAATTATTTTACATGAATCATTATTACTTCAGATTTCATCAACTTCATCACACAAGGGAGTTTTTGTGTTAGTGGATGGATGCTAGTGGAACTATAACCACTGAGCTGGTTTTAAAATGTACTTCTTAGCAGTATTATTTTTACTCTTGCCATCTCTGTCTAAATGGAAACTTCCTGTGGGGTTTTAACACTGAATTCACCCAGCTGTATTTGAAAGCCAGGTCATTTAATGGTTGTTTTTGTTACGTAAAGTGAACAATTCAATATCACACTCTATTAAACGGCTCTTTTTTGTCATATAAGAAAATGTTGAGTTTGACCTAGTATGTTAACATGTTACAATGGTTACATTTGTTGTTGTGGGCTGAACAATGAATTTGTTTATGATCACTTCCTCTTCTGATGTGCTGTAGCAATGACTTAACCTTCTGATTTCCCAGAATATGTACAGAGTGGAAACCACAGGGTGTCTCTCACTGAGCGCGCAAACCAGCTGTGTTGCCTATAAAGAGTATAATACAGTTCTTCTTTTCTTTACTCTTCAGATGAATGTAAATTAAATAAAAATCTAACGACAATGTTTTCTTTCCTTTTTTTTTTAAACCATTAATGCTAGTGCTAAGCTTGTGGGTGACAGAGGAAGTCCCAACAGGTCATCACTTCCTCATGCTGGCCACATATCTGCACATATAATAAACCTGTTTAAGTGATGATATGAGCTTTTGGTATTGAATTCATTCAAATAATGAATTTAATAAAACAAAATACCAGAATTCAATGGTTTTATTTTTAGAACAAAATCCTCTCCACAATATTTAAGACCCAAAACAAAACGACTAAGATTTCCTTTACATGTTTAAAATAATTTTGTTCGTTTTAAACCATCACACAAAAAAATAGAAACAAATACAATTTAAAGTAATCTTTTCTTAAAAATAAAAAAAAGTAACTGTACACGGCAGAATACACCATTTTTCACAAACCCCCTTAGACCTCTTCAACTATACACAATTTATTGCAGTTCACCTAAAATACGCAAAACTAGTTTTTTTTCTGAAACCAACAACAGATCGTGTTATATATTCTGATCTGAAAAACAAATGGTGACTTGTACACTTATTTAAAGTTTCACTCTTCGGCATTCATGCCCTTGTGCAAAAGCAGGAACTCAAATCTCGTATACTGATTATCTTCTTTTGGGCTGAATGGAAACTATAAAAATGTGCTTACAAATGACAACGGGGGACATGCGTTTGTCCCAATGTATCTAGAGGGACATTAGAGCCATTAAGGCAATGCTGCAAATTTCCAAAAGTTGGAAGAGGTTACCGTTCTAATAATCTAGAACCATTTAACGTAAGGCTGGAATTCGAAGGAAAACAGTTCCTGAATCTACAGAGGTTTCCATGCTGTTCTGTTAAAGCCTGTTTATAGCTTTAAATGCATCAACAGAACTAGATGTGCATCTAAATCTATTAAAAAAATAAACCAATAGTCTTGCTTTCTCAACCGTTATGAAAAAGAGAAGAGCTTATAGTGCCTAAAGTATCCACAAACACTTGATAACTCAATGACCTCCTTTTGTACAGAGCAATATTATTACCACTGGTTTCTTAGGAAGATTCTACACTTGTAGAGTACCACATCATCATTCATGATACATACACACATTTTTTTGTAGCCAGGTTTTTCTGAAACATTAATTTCCAAGTCAACATGGGGATGTGAAACCATCTCTCAAACAAGACACGGAATCGGCCTAAGAATCTTCTGGAGGCCTGGTATTTGGAATGAGTACAGCTCAACGGGGGGACCCAGCCCCACTGGAATATTGCTAGAGAAGAACCAAAGCTCTGCCTTTAGTACAAGTGTCAGTTATGAATCAATAAGTTACATATATTAAGACTTCATTAAATGGACAGATGAAAAACGTAAATCAACGTAAGGCCCCCAATCACTGAAGGTTTCATTCAGTCCAACTGAAACCAGCTGAATGGGTGGAAAATGAACTTTACTATTGCTATTAGACAGCACAGCCGTTTCGTTAAGACATGCTTTTGAGAAGAAAAAAGAACTAATGAATTGAAAGAATACAGCAGCCAGAAGCACTCCCCAAGCCCAATATGGCCAGTTTGAATCTGAAAGAAATGCTGCTCTTCACAGAGTCCTAAAAGGATGCACACTGCAGAAATAAAAGAGCATCTTAAGTTTGATCATCTCACTCAACACTGGCCGATTAACCAAAGATGATTAACCAGAAGTCAACAGTTAGCAGCCTAATTTAGGAAGTGTATTTTGTTTTGAGAGCATCAACTGTAACAACCATCTTAAAGCTGATGTTTGACAGACAAAGACTATTTCCAAAGATCTTTCTATGAACTCCAGTTTGAAGATAACCTCCAAACTAAAAAATGACCATCTCAGCGTGAGCCATTGCTTAAACTGCACAAACATCTAACAGCAGAAGCAGCAGAGGTGGTCAGTTAATGGCGTTGAAGACTGTAGTACTAATTTAGTACTGTAGTATTATTAAGGTTGCTTTCACACTAGACGTTTAGTTAGAAACAGGATGCAATTTGAATGCATCTCAAATGGTAGAGAATGAGCTTGCAATGTGAAGGCCGTGTGTTCAATTCCCAGGGAAAGCAGGAACTGAATGCAGTGCAGGTCAAATACTTAAATGTAAATGTAATGTGAAAGAGGTAATGTGGACCTGAGAGCACACCTGCAAAAACTGAATCTAGGACAACCTATAGGGGGCGCTCTGAGTTTGCTTGCAATAGAAAGTGTCTCAATTTGTGTGAAAAGTGAAAGAATGGTTTGTTTAGCAAAACAAATGACAGCTTGATTATTATGCTTAAGTGATTATGCAGCATAAGGGTGACTTATTCCCTGCCCTCTCAGGCGTCGCCAAAGTCAAATAAACCACCAATTAGTAATAAAACACCCAACCCAGCAATGAGAGTACAACCCACAGGGATGTGACACTATAGCCAATTGAGTTAACCCAATTCACATATAACGCATGTCTTTGGACTGTGAGGGTAAACCGGAGCCCCTGGAGAAAACAAACGCAGAGACGAGGAGAACATACACACAGAAAGGCCTCCTGGGGTCCATTCTTTGTATCTCACTTAAATTATCCAAGATGATTTGACAGATCCTGGATCTGTTAATCTTGATAACTGATTTCTGGCTAATTTAGTTCTTCAAACAAGTTCATGAATCAGATAAAAATGTCTGGATGAACTGATCTAAGGTCGCTGCGTGTGTCGTGAAGGACAGATCTATCAATCCTCGAAATCATGATCAGTAATGCAACTATTGGCTGACAACACAGCAGCATAACAATCTGATTATTCAATTCTCCATGTGTGCAAAATTACATAAAAAAATGTAGTAAACGATTTGTTAAATATGATGCAATAACTTGTGGGCTGCAGGCTTTACACTTTCAAGTGTCAAGAGTATTTAGCAATTTATTTAGTTTTACATTTAGAGCAAACTTTCTTTATTATAGACTTATTTAAGTTTCTTAATCAGTTTAAGGAATAACTGACTATTTCAATTAATTTTGCAACAAAAAAGCATTTGGATATCAGTAAAGGTGTCTGTAAAGGATCAAATCATCGTCATAGCTGTCAAAACAATGACTGCATAAATTATTCCTTTGAAAAAATAAAAACAGTCGAATATTGTGCAGGTCTATAATCATACACAAAATGTCCTACCAGGAAGGTACCAGTTGGTACCTTAAAATAGTAAACGTTTGCATCTAAAAAGTTTTGTTAATAAATGTTCTCTTTGAGCCCCATGGGGAGAACCACCCCGTGACAGTCTTTTTTTTTAACTATCTATCATTTCTCAAGTGTATATAACTACTATACTGTAAGAAAATATAAGAATTCGGTGTATACTTTCAGTATTACCTTTGCTTGAAAAGGCCCGATCTAATCCTGCCCATATGAAACAAGCCTGCGAACAAATTCTGGTAGCTCAAACCAGAACAGGTTTGAGCTACCAGAACTGTTGCTATGACAACAACTTTTAGATGAGTTTTGAAGAAGGAAACGATTCTGGATCATGTTAAATCGTCAATAAAAATAAATAAATTTTTTTTTTTTTTTTAAATCACGCTAATTAAGTAATCCACGTATGAAAAACATACCCCTGGTACAGCAGAATAGTTTGATGGAACTAAAAAAAAAATGTAAAAACAGACTAGCACTGCACTTGGGCCTCAACAAATGTGTCCAGCGTGAAAGCCACCTTAGTTTAGTTTGTAAATGATTACTTAATTTTAAAGTGTTAGTTCACCCAAAAATGAAATGGTTACATGAGTGACAGTTCTCATAAATGACGCACAACATACTGACTCTAAGAAGAAACAGTTTAGATCAAAAGTGTCCAAACTCGGTCCTGGAGGGCCGGCGTCCTGGATATTTTAGTTCCAACACAAGTTAAACACACCTGAATCAGCTAATCAAGCTCTTTCTAGGTATACTAGAAACTTCCAGGGAGGTGTGTCAAAGGAAGTTAGAGCTAAACTATGCAGGACATCGGCCCTCCAGGACAGAGTTTGGACACCCATGGTTTAGATTTTAATATTTATGTTTTATGGGCGCACAAAATGTACTAGTAGCTTAATAATATTCCAATTGGTCTGTTTTGAAGATGTTTTTGGCAGCTTTGGTAAATGAACCAAGGTCTCAGGGGATTGGAATGATAGAAGATTGAGTAATTATTAACAATTTTCATTTTTGGGTGAACCGCCCGTTTAAGATGTAACATTTTACATCACACAATTCTCATTTAAATGTACTCATTTCAAAACATCACAAGTTGATCGCTGCTGAAAATAGCAACATTTTGTGTGCTATTCATCTGTAAATTTCATTAAACTCAAACCTACTGGTATGAAGAAGCCAAACCAGAGGTTTCTTTTTTTAAATATCATAAATGCACAGCACATATAAAATGGGCACATTTACATCCAACCTAATCTGACACCAGATAAAGAATTTAAGCAACATTTTCCATAAGAAAATAGCTGAATTAAAAGACAATGGGCGAATGACCTTGAAGTTAAAGCAGCTGACAGCAAACCAGCCTGCAAAGTCTGCGTGACCAATGCAGATGAACGGAGCAATCACAGTGTGCCATCACTGGGAACTGAAGTTCAAGCAAGGAGAACAGAGACAAAAAAAAAGGAAATCTCCAAGCTGGTTTGCTTGTTCTATGAAAAAATAAAAAGCTACTTTCATCTCAAAGTAAAAAAGTAACGTAAGCAACCATACACATTTTGAAATACACCTCAAAAAAGGAGGTTATTAAGATTGTGCCGATATGATGCTTGGATATGGTAATCCAATAAATGTAGTAATGGAGCACGGTTTATGTCCTGCTTCCTTTTTAGAAAGCAGTTGGGTCCAGATACAAACTGACATTCTCTACTGGCAGCTTTCGGAAGTTGGAAAGAGGAGGGCGAGAGCAATAAATGTTATATGTGTGTGCTTGACTGTATTTGGGACCAATAAAGTAGCCTAACTAGGGTGCTCTCAGGAATGTGTGGAATAAAAGAGAGGAACTCGGGATTTCATGCTGGGAATGATGCTGCACGGCTTTCAGAAGAGAGGATGGTCTCCGGGAGTCTCACAGGAAGCGCGTGGTGTGAAGGAGAAGCGGATTCAGGTCCTCGGCATGTACAGCACGGTGTAGAGAGGGCTCAGAGGCACTCCGCTCGATTTTTGGCAACAATTCCTGGACCTGCTCAATGCTCACCAGGATCTGAGGAACAGCAGGGATGATACACAAGAGGTTGTTGCTTAATTTGCCTTTACCAACCCACACACTCACAAAATGGAACTACACAAAACAAATTTACTGTTACATCTAAAATTAACACACAAAAACCATGCAAATTACCGTGACAAAATCAGATTAATAATTAATCCATACTCATTTCTGCAAATTCCTTGCAAATACTGGGTTATTTGAAAACATTTTGCATTGCCTTTAAAAAAAAAAAAAAAAAAAAAAACTGCAAATTTATTCTAAAGTCAAAAAAAAGTTAAATAGCAATGATGCTTTTTTTTAGGACCGGGACACCAATGGTCAATGGTCGGTCGTTAAGTTGCATCTGGCTAGTTGGTTTGGTGTGTTTCACACTTCACCTCTCGTCAGGTTAATGTCAGATTGAGTTGGCCTGATTCAGCATATAAAATCCGGGTCAGCCAAAGAGAGTGCTCTGATTGATTATTAATAATCAATGAATCACAGCACGAGATCCAAAGTTGAAGTGTACGTAACCAAGTAAACAATTCAAGAAAAAGAAAAATGGTACAAAATCCTTTGTTTGCAACATGTACGCATGCATCTATTTTGTGAAATGAGAAAACAGCTTAGTGGCGCCCATGGGTGCAAAAAACAAAAAAAAACAAATAAAACATAGGTGCAGAAAGTGCACTCATTTTAGACAGATGCCATCCATTTGAAGTGTTCACAGACAGCTTTTTTGGTCCAGATATGGCGACAACACAATGAGCCGACAACACAGATGATTTTTGTCAGCGCTAGTTCTTTGGCATCAGTTTGTTGTGTCCCAGCCTTTATTTGCTGCACTATTGATTTGGTTTCGGGTTTAGTGTAGGTTAACAATAACTGATACTTATAATCCATTTGATTTTCAAATGGTTGAAACAAGTGCAAAAAAATATTGCCACAGTCAGGTTGTATTTCTGAGAAAACTGAACTTGCTTTTTTTTTTTTTTTTTTTAACATCGCTGATAACGCTTTGAAAAAAAAAAAAAACAACAAAAAAAAAGCTGTGACATGCAACAGGAAATGTAAATTGTTTTTGCAAAAATACAGTTTGACAGGGAAGGATTTCTCGTGAGCCTGGATTTGACCTAAACACAAAGAACAGCTGTGGTTTATTCTCACCTGTGGGAAGAGAGGCCGTTCATCCCGTTTGAATTTCAGACAGTCAATGATGAGCCTCTTCATTGATTTCGGGCAGTTACTGTATAATTTACTGAGGTCTGGAGACAAGTAACCACGACCCACCATGAAAATAATCTACAGGAAGACAAAAAAAAAAAAAAAAAAAAAAAATCAAACACAGCATTTCATAAATTAAACACACAAACACTTCTCCTGTTTTCCATACCAGAAATAGTTGTTTGTTCTGTTATTTATTGCCACATCGGAAACGTATGGCTTTTCATGGAAAGATTAATATAGATAAAGACATGCATAACAACTTCATATTCAATAAGAGAAATAAAACATTTTACATTAAAAACATTAGATATGATGCCTCAGTTCAATAAATGATAAAAAAAAAACATCCATTGTTAGAACTGCGTTGTTTTGGTCTGTTTTTGTATCTTTTTGTCTGTTGTATGACTTCAGCGCACCTGATGCTCGTCGTCGATTTAAATGCAGAGCGAGAGTTCTTTAGGGTCGCTGTTCCTTTATTGTTTGAAAAGTTGGTCAGAACTGCGCTCCAATTTGTGTCATTATGTTTTGTTTTGCATCCACGCACTAACACTGACAAAACGTCCTGCATCCATTCATTTGCCCTTCACGCTGACTGAACCCACTGATAATAATGTTTTGATTATGTTATTTTCAATTGTGTTAGAATAAATATTATGTTTGACTGTATTTCGCTGTGTCATCTCCCTTAATGTTACATCTTTGAGCCAGGTCTAACACCATCAAAGTGTTCTCAGTATAAAAATCTTGTCTAGTAGACTTAAAAAATAAATAAATAAATAAAAAAAAGTCCCATTTAAGAAAAAAAAAAAGTCGTAATGTAAATTTGACTACAAGTAAATGACATAATTTTAATTTTTGCCTGAACAACTGTCAGCTACAAACTCATGAAACTATACAGAAATTCCTGCAACTGTCAAAGCAATGATGACCAATGCCAGACCTGATCGCGGTTGTTGATATTCGAATAAGGCAAAGTCCCAGACATCAGTTCGTAGAGCACCACTCCATATCCATACACATCAGACTGGAAGGTGTACGGGTTAGTGTCTTGCATTCTGATCACCTCAGGAGCCTGAGAAACAACAACAGTGTTACAAGCATTAAACTACTTGACATATGCAGTAAGCTACCAGGTATAAGATTTATTGATGCTTGGTGACTGATTCTCACCATCCACAGGATGGAGCCACTGGGCTGTTCGACCTGCTGTGAGCCACTCCAGCGAGACTTTACTGTAGCCAAGCCAAAGTCACCGATTTTTACTGTCCAGCCTTCATGCAGGAAGATATCTGACACAAGAGCTCAAGAATATCATGCAGAACACAGTTAAAATAACTATACTAGTAGGGGGAAAACTATAAAAAAAAATCCTTACCTTGCAAAAGATTTTTCATTAATATCCACAACAACCCGTTTGAACTAAAAATGCATGTTAAAACAACTATTAACAGATGTGGTACTAATAATGACATCTACTGAAAGCAAAAGGGTCGAATGTGATCCATCCTGCAACAGATCTCTCACACAATACAGGCAATACATAATACATTATGGAAAGGATACTATTAGATTTCAAGTCCCGATGAATGATATTCTTGGCGTGAAGATAACTGTCAAGAAAAGCAACCAAAGTTAAAGCTTAAGGTAAGAATAAAGTTTCCAAAGCTCTGTATAAAGAGCTTACATAAAAGGTGGGACAATCATAAAGCATTAGTGCATTTCTGGAAATGTGAATTTTCCTGTGCAAGTGTGTTCTGGGATTCTGAAATGTAAGAGGTATTTTCTGATCGGAGCACCTCAAATTTATTTTAGGAAGTTGCAAGTGTGCTTTTACAAGTTCAAATCACAGTCTATCACTATCAGTTATTCATGATGCAAATAGCAACCATTCTTAGCCACCATTGTTGATATTGCATTAATGATATATTGTTAGTTAGCCTGGGTGTGAAGAACCAATAAATGATCAGCATGTAATGGTATTTTTCATTTTGGAAGTAGCTTTTCAACAGTTCTTATATTTCTTTTGAGATTTAAGATCCTTAAAAGGATAGTTTAGCGTTAGCTCATACTCAAATGGTTATAAAGTTTATAAACTTGTTTTTCAGTTGAACACAAAACTAAATATTCTGATGAAATTTGGAAGTCTATGGAAGTCAATAGCAATTTTTCCCAAACTTTCCTCTGCAGCACATCTTTGTGGTCAACAGAAGAAAGAAATTCAAACAAGTTTGAAAAAAGAGAAGGATAAGTAAATGATGGCGGAATATAAATTTTGGGGGAACTATCTCTAATCTCTATCTGACCGACTATCTCTATCTTTAATAGGGTTTATGTAGATTTCACAAAGTTAAATTTAAGACTTTTAAGACCATTATATAAAAAAAAATCTGACTTTTTATATTATAATTTGTTATTTATTAACCAAATATTTTAATTAAATTGGCAAAACAAGCTAACCCTAGTAGTACTCATGCATATTTTTCAATAAAATCTAAAAAAATAAACTAGAATAACTATTTTTTTTAAAAACTATAATACACTAAAATGTACGCACAACAGTCAGCCTCCTCACCATATATGGACTATAAATACACAGAGAACTTTTAAACATTAATTATTGTAAGGACGATAATTAAACCAAATTGTAAATTGTTACAAACAAATTTTTTAAAAGTTCTATAGAGATGAATTGTTGGCGATTGTATGGGTGTTGGGTAGCTTTACACAGACATAGGAAAATTAAAACCTGTTTACAATTATTTAAAGACCTACAAGACAAACTTTCAGTGAATTTAAGACTTTTTAAACGCCTAAAATTTAGTTTATGAAATTTAAGACATTTTAAGACTTTAAGATCCCACGGACACCCTGCTTTAAGCTTACCAAGGCTACATCTATCTTGATAATATAATAAAATAATTTCTTATTTTACTATTTATTAAAATCATAGAAATGCATTTTGTGAAGGCAAAAGCTCATAGAAGCACCCAATGTCATAAAAAGCTGGTTTGCTGCTCATAAAACATTTATTATTATTATCAAGTTAAGATTTACAAATTAAAAACCTTAACCATTTAACTAACTGAATGTACCTTTTGGCAAATAAAATATGATTTGCCCAAAAAAAAAAGCATTTTTAAAGTCTTACTTAAATGTACTTAAAATATCACATTTTATTGCCTTTTTAAAGAGCAAAGATTCTGCATGCAAGATAAGAACTAAACTTATACTGCTGAAATGAAGAAAAAAAAGAAAACAATTTAATATTCTTACTCCATGCCCTGTGCTGTTTGGCGAGCAACATCAATGCGCCGCATGGTGTCAAACTTGGTCTCAGTGACATGCAGATGGCGATACAGACTGCTGCCTTCACACCACTGTGTGATAATGGCAAAATTAGGCCTTGTCATGAAGCCCATAAACAGCAGAATGTTTACATGGCGTGTTTTTCTGTAGAACAAAACAGATATATAGTCAATGAAACACTCAATGGTTGTAGCAGCTAAAGACATTACTGTTGTAACTAAGCAGCATTACTGCAAACTACTGCTTACTAATGATCAAAGATGTTCTGTGAAGCTCTAAATCCCACTGACGACTCACCGTAAAACCTGCATCTCATTTTTAAAGGCCTGGAGCTGCTCCGGTGTGGGCTCTGTCACTTTAAGAATTTTGATGGCCACGTCTCCATGCCACTTGCCTTTAAAGACGGTCCCAAAAGAGCCTGCTCCAATCCTCTTTAACATGGACACCTCCCGCGGGTGCACCTCCCAGTAGTAACTGGAGTCTCTGTAACCTCCCCGGTGCTTCAATGACACCACAATTATATATTTTTTTTGTTTGAAAAGGCTGATTGTAAATAAGCAGAATCATTTTTGTATCAGAAAATAAAGATGAATAAAAACACACCACTTTCTTTTTATCATCAGACGAGGACTGCTTTCGTTCCTTGGGTTCAGAAGGGGATTTGGGGGGTTTTCTTCCTGGCGACCCTAGGTGGGGTGGGCTAGTGGAAGGTTTGGGAGAGGACTCGTACCCTGTGGACGACGCTAGAAGATGAGAACCAGTACACACAAACATTTATATAGAAGTGTAATTTGATGCGTCATTGTGATCAGAAATGGAGAACAAACTAAACTTTTTGTAGTGTTATGTGAGAGTGTGGAAAAAGAAAAAAACATGTGCTCTAAGCAATGGTTAATTGAACAAAGTAAAAAAAAAAAAAAAAAAAAAAAAAAAAAACTCACCCACTGTGCTGATTTTGAATGGCTCCTGAATGAGAGTGAGGGGGAAAAAATGAATAAATACATGCAATGGAGAAATGATCAAGGAGGCATGCAGAACCTCCATAGACACATTCTGTGATGTAAAGTTTTGTCTAATTTGGTAGCGTACAGGGACAGTTCACCTAAAAATGCATGTACACTCACTGTGTTCCAAACCAGATAAACATGCCTCAGGGTAAGAGCAGTCATGGTCAGAGAAAAAAAAGGTCAAAAACAAAGTGCTCAGAACTGGCCGTTAATATATATATATATATATATATATATATTAGTTCAGAATGAAGGATGTTTGAATATTATGATTCATTGAGCATGTTTAATTCATGATGCAGATGAAGGTACAAAAAATAAAAGTTATGATAGGTGTAAAGAAATCTATCCCTTTTAAAATCCTCTTGACGTTCTTGTAATTTCAAATTTGTATGACACCCCATCTTTAATACGACACAAAAACGGAAGTGTTGCACAAAGTCGACAATGCTCTTTTCCAAACAATATATGCTAATAGTCTTTGTTATTGTTTTTAGACATGGCAATTTGAATATGAAAAAAAAACATTACTTTACACCACATTTTGGATTTAGTAGAAAACATTGAGAGTGACTATAATGTTTAAGCGAACTGTTCCTTTAAAACAATGTCAAAATGAGAGAACATCAAGAGATGTGGATTTGAGCTTTTAGTCTGGCTGCTAACCTCCAAAAGGCCAGCAGCGCCAGGCTCCAGCGTGCTGACCATGTGAACATTGGGTGTTGAGGTTGATCGATGCCTCTGGAGAGACTGACCGTCCTCTCCTCGAATGAACAAACAGAAGTTTGACGGGGAAGACGGCAGCTCCCCTCTAAAATAGTAAAACAAAAAGAGGATATGCAAGTTATTTCTACATTTCACTTTGGGGATCAATAGATAAATGTAAGAATAGATTAGGTGTACCCAGGAGAATCTGAGGTTAAAGGTAGGTCGCTCTGCGATATGGAATTGGTGGCCGGATATATCAATATCGCAGGGCAGTCTTCTGTATTATTAACACACCTGACAGGATAAGAACATCAATTAAGTGACAAAAATGAAGACAAGTGTACATCAAGGCAGAAACTTTCATGAATAACATACCGTTTTGTCATTGTGTCCATGTCCACACATACTGTAGGGACTTTACTGCTGCAGTGCTGGTGAAATTTATATCCACATGTCTGACACCTGAAGCCGTTGAATAAGAACTTGTGGCAGAAGTCACAGTATGCTAACTTAAAGAACGTTTTACGTACCTGTAAATACAAACATTTAAAGATGATGCTGATTGGCTGACTAAGTGAACAACAGTAAGATATTTAATTTGACATTATCTCAACTTCTATACGTTTCTTTTTATTTAGCAAATCATTACAAAATTATGTGGATCATAAAATATTAAGCAGAATAACCGTTTATAACATTGACAAAAATAAAGAATGATTTCTTAAGCCTCTAGTCAGCATTTGATAATGATTTCTGACTGATCATGAAACACTCAAAACTTGAACTTTACCATTAAAAGACATAAATGGTATATAAACCTCCTAAATTAGTTAAGCTGTAATATTTAACAAAACAGATTAAGCAAAAGAGAATACAATATATATTTTTTAAAACTGTGCTGAAATCAAACCTTGTAGCAACAGATTTAAAATTATTTATTTTCTTCATAATACATAACATGAACAAGTCAACCCCAAACTTCCTAAAGTTGTTATAACTGATTATTAGAATCAAACCAGTGCAGCAAGACATTATATAAGTAAATCAGTATAGCACACACAGTATTAATAGTAAAGGTTAATAGATGCAGGGCAAAAACATTGTTTATTTGTATTATTTTAAAATACCAAATGTAATGCATAAGACTAAATGTAATATTAACAAATTAAACAGTCCTTAAAATTCTAACTAATTTGAAAAAAAAATAGACTTAACAATGAAAATGTATCCTAACTGGTTCAATTCATGAAGTAAGTACACTTACAAAGTTGTGCATGGTAAGGGGAACATCATCCAGGACTTCTACCAGTAGCTCTTCCCCCACGAGGGGTGTGATGTCAGTGTCCCATTCTGTAAGTCTCTTCCGGCTGTCAAAAGACAAAGACAAATATCCCTTGAACAGAAACTTTACCAAATAATTTGTCACTTTAAATGCTACTATCCCAGGGACACATACCCTTCAAGCAGGCGAAAGACAGCACAGCAATCCTGGCTTAGGCCTCGGACTTTTAGGGCTTTATCTAAACTATCATACACAGTTTGCCCAGGCCGAACGTTTACCTGAACATAATCAAAGATGGGAATGATCACAAGCACACAACTACATTTGTACATATACAGGTTATGTAAGCTGTTACAAATATTTATGAAGAACAATTAAGAGTGAAAGAAGCCTCACCACCGTCCGCTGCTTGTTAGGGAGGTAGACGCGGATGGTGCCTCCACCTCGGGGTGTATCGTCCGGGCTGGTTTCCCCCGAGGAGGAACAGGAGGAAGTGTTGGACATGGTGTCTCCGATGGGGCAGTGAGGGACTGGCAGCACTGACACTCACAAAGATTTACACAGCGGGGCAAATGCAGGAGGAAGCCCTCATCTGGAGCCTGAGATGGACAACATTGTGTTAGTGCCAAAACACACAAATAAAACCTTCCATTAATGTCTGTTGACATAAAAACAAGTCCATTAAACAGATGTGAATACTAAAAGGTCAGGCAAAAAATGTTGGGCATAGATAAACGAATGATGACAAGATATTACTGAGGGTTTAAAAAAACAAAAACAAAGACGAATGGTAAAATGCCTAGCACTGTTCCAAATAATTATTTTAGAAATAGTTAATTACGGGTTCTGTGATATCAAACTATGGTTATGCTAATGTGCAAAGCTCACGCTGAATATGAGCCATATACAATGTAAATTATATTAGGATTTTTGATTTGATTTGGATTTACAAACTTTAATCTAATCTAAATTAAGAACTTTATTTAATCTTAAAATTAAAAAATAACCACATACCCTGAATACCAGGGGTGTTCAAACTCTCTCCTAAAGGGCCGATGTCCAGATGAGTTTTGTTCCATCCTTAATCAAACACATCTGAACCAGCTAATCAAGCTCTTTCTAGATTTACTAGATACTTCCTGGCAGGTATGTTGAAGCAAGTTAGAGATAAACTCTTCAGGACACCAGCCTTCCAGGACAGAGTTTGGACACCGCGGCTACTGTATATGCTTTTTTGTTTTATTACAACAATCCGGTAATCCAGTCAGCAGTGTGGATGATGTCAGTGCAGGCTTAGGCCGGCATCACATTTTCTCATTGCAACTACTTGCTGAAGCTTTTATCGATATATAGATTTATTATCATCATGACATTGACCTAAGCTGCATAATAGTTTACCTTAACAAGTATAATTACAAATACATACGTAGCGTTTTGGCATGTTGCATATACATATTCAGAGAAAACAAATGCTTCAAACATATTAAAAAGTGTAAAAAGATTCAAAAGCACCATAAGTAACACTTAATAATAAGGTCTCATTAGTAAACGCTAGTTAACACATTAAAATAAATCGTAAGAAATTATTTCATTACAGTTACTATATTAGTGCTAGTTTAAAAACACAACCACCATTTATTATACATTAATTCTGATTAATAAAATAACAAATTTTCATTTTATCATGCTATTCTTAGGCATTAAATAAGAAAGCAACATCACTTAATATTAATCAAAGCTTTTGTATTTATCATCATGATTTTAGTTAATTAATGATTAATGTATACATGAAATAATAGTAATACAAAAAGTCACAATTTTTTTATGTTTTAGTATGTGGTAGACCAGATTATAGGATAGTAGTACTTACCCTTATTTCAAACCATTTGATTTTCTGTTAAACACAAAAAAGAAATTTTTGTTAGTATTAGAAACCTGTAACCATTGACTCCCATAGTATGTTTTTCCCACTGTGGAAATCAGAGGTTACAGCTTGAGCTTTCTTCAAAATTACTTTTATAAAGTTCAACAGAAGAATCTCAAAAAGTTTTTTTTAACATTAACACAAAGTTACTTAAGTTTAATAATAAATTATTATTCGCTGTATTTTGAAGTGCCCTTGATAATAATATTGTGCATGTTTATTGTCACGATTTATTGGATTATTGATTATCAGCACGTGTCTATGTCAGGGTGACAAAAAAAATCAGCAATGTATATAATATATTCAGCAGATTTATCATTAGAAGGCTGGATATTGAAGATTTTTTAAATTGACATTCAATTTCTGACCAAAAACAAATTTAATTTACAAAATGTTAATTTCAAAGTTTGTTTCTGGCTAAATGAAAACTTTCATTTTGGGTTTGGTGGTTCAGTAAACAAACTCATCATCACTAGATATTATCATTGCTGATGTGCCCACAAACCAGTTCAAGCAAAGTGCAAGCTGAATGTCAGACAACGTACAGTCAAGCATTAAAACTATAAGCCAGTTCAATTTCCAAATCTAAATTCAACAATAAAACTCTCCAGGCGTGGCTGTTTGAAATAACACAGAGTTGAGGAAAAAGCAAAGACGACCACTGCAAACTTTAGAGTATTTTCGTGCAATAAAACTAACATGAAACAGATGTAGACATAAATTCATTTAAAGGATCAGATTACGCCAAAACTTCTTTGAAGATATTGCTCTATAATTAAACACTATAATTTTCGTCTTAAGGCTATCAAACTCTCAAATAAAGCCATTTAACCCAGACACGTAAGAACAAGTACTCCAAATTGAACGTTACGTTTTATGATATATAATGCAGCATACACTATCTTCACAACCCTAAACCACAAGTGTTGTGCAGACTGGAAAAACACCACTGCAGTTGCACCATCATTCACTTCACAATAATACACTGTGTTGTGAGCTTCCTAAATCAGCATGTATAAATAGCCAATACATGTATTACACTACACACCCTGCCCAGTTTAAATTTGATGCAGATGGTACATTTATATGAACATACACATGTTATATTACATTATTACACAATTATTAATATAATATTACGCACACTGAATATGCAAATAAGTTGTAGAATTACACAATGTCTGAATCATACATACATATTGTATTATTACGTTAATAATATATACATAAAACATTTAACCTACACAACACACTTGACTTTGGCAAACTAACAATCAGGTGACACCCCAACAGGAGGTGAAAGAGAATTATAAATGTTTTAAACAAACACCTCCCCTCCTGAAAGTGTGACCGCAGAAATGTGCAGGAGCCTGCAGAGGAGATGAGTTGGCTGGGTTTAGCAAACAGTGATGTGTCTGATCATTTTCTCTGTCCTTCTCCTAGAACACAGGCCATGCAGATTTGGCTTGCTCACTTTACCGAGACAACGGTGATTATTACGACTGAAGTATAAAAGCATAACAGCCAAATATAGCTCCCTAAGTCCTGTCAGGTGCCTTATTCGCGGTGAAGGAGGGAATGCTGTTTTCATGAGGCGGAAAGGGATTAGACGACTAGCTGCTAGCTAGCTAACGTTACTGTTGCTAATGCGGGTTAAAAGTTTAGAAAAACTGCTAAACCAGATTATTCAAGCGCTGCTATGTGACGTATCGGGATTTACAACTGCGACTAGTATTTTTGCAAACTACAGCCTGTTCGTGAACCTCAATTTGCATTTTTTTGCTCCAGAGTAAATACTCACCTGAGACAGCCATCTTGAATTCTCTCAGTCTCAAGTCGGATCAGCAAAGAATTTCAGGGAAAGCGGAACAGCGAAATGTCGCGTTCTGATTGGTCGAGGGCTGTGAATCGCGAAGCTCATTGGTTACCTACCTTGCTACTTTGTAGCAAGGGAATGAAAAGGGGCGTGTGCTGTGCTGCGGTCGACGAATGTAAAGTTTTTCCATGCAGTAAAGAAACCTACAGGCCAGAGCTCAGTTACGTTCTTCATGTACTATTCAAAATGAGTACGAGTAACATGTTTTACACAAAGACAAAAGCAACGTTATACTAAGTAATCAAGAGATTAAGGCATACACTGCCAGTCAAAAGGTTAAATTGCTGATTTATTACATTTGTATCTCAAAAAGCTGAACAGGTCAGGTCCAAAATTGTTAATTTTGTAAAATATTGCCGTCTAATGTTTTCAGGGGTTTATTTTTATAATGTCATAAAACATGAACAGCCAGAATAGTACAATTATTTAAATCATTATTTCTTTTGATAAAACCTTGTACACAAGTAGGTTCATTTTATATGAAAATATCAGTGGAAAAAATGTATCTTGCATTGTCTCTTTGGGAGCAATCATGGCCCAATGAACCACTCTTCATACCACAATTAAGGTGAGACCCTTTGAGCAAGGCACTGAACCCCCAACTGCTCCCCATGTGCTGCAGCGATATGAATGCTCATATATCTATTGTACTATCATGTTTGTGCACTTGGTTGAGTTAAATAAATACAGAGTAGAAATTAGAAGTATGGGTCAACATACCTTTCCTCGTGTCATTTCACATGCTTAAAAACCTTTAGAATATAGACTTGAACACTATTTGGTTTATATAAATACTAGTGAAGTGGAGATCTGTGCCTCAGTGCAGGAGAAAATCATCATTTTGGGAAAGCAGCTTTTAAAAAAATAATCGTAACTGAAATCTACAGACACAAATTGATAAAGTAAAATTAATTAAAAACTTGTGATCAGTTTTCTTTTCATAATATTGAAAGCACAACAGTGGTACTGCCTGCAGTGTCTTGCCTCAAAAGATAATTAAAAATGCATAATACAAAAGTAAAGAATGTTTCTTTTAATGTCCGTGTGACCTCTGTACAAAAGATTTATTTTGGGGAAGTGTAGACAAGCAAACAATATCTTTGTATTGAAATCAATTTCTCTGTTTTAAATGTCACGATTAAATGGAAAAAGACCACTGTGCAGTTGAAAATAAAATGTCCATGTTGACAAAACTGGTTTCTGAAGAAACATTTGCCTATTCCACGCTCAAGAATTTCCTCTTTTTGGCAGTGCGTGTGTAAGGGTGGTGTCGCCATTCAACATCTGCAGTACTCTCATTCTCTAGCGTGCCCAGCTTAATCATGTACACTGAAAATGATAAATACATGATATTAATTCAAGATGAGCAATGTGCAACACAAGTGTCCATTTTGCACAAATACAAACAAATTTACACACACACGCAAAAAAAAAGTTCCTTACATTTCATTTCAAACCTAGGTCCAACTTCTGTCAACTCAACGTTCTTGTGATCAGTTTTCTTGTAAGTGTGGTGTCTGCAACATTAAGTAATTCCACAGTCGTTATGTTTATTTTGCTCAGAATCATTGATACAGCAGTTAAAGCACAACTCACCTGAAAGAGATGTAATCATCTGTGTTTGCGAACGTAATAACACGTCTGCTATCCTCTTTGGGTACAGGGAACAGATACTTTAGAATGTTGGACACCTAAAAAAAAAACAAATAATAATTCACATTACAAAGCTTATTGTAATGTGCATGACCTTCGATTGAGCCTAGACTACAGCATACGAAGTGGATCTAAAAAGTTTATCAAAATTAAGACTTTTAAAAAATTAAGGTCCACTTCAAATGTTGACAACTGTGTATCATTACAATAATCAAGACATTAATGATATTTGTTTATTTAAAATATAAATAGAATAGAACATATAACATAGCTTTTTTAAAGTTTGGGGTCGTTTTAAAGAGCTGTATTCATTTAAATCACAAATACAGTTAAATGTTATTACACATACAATAGAAATGTTACTACAAAAGCAACTAAAATAACGGTTTTAATATATTTTAAACTGAAGTTTAGTACTTTGATTTTTAAAGCTAAATTTTTAGTCTTCATTAGCCAGTTTCCCTTCAATGATGCTAATTAAATTTATGAGCAAAAGCAGCGTTTTCATCCAGTGAGTCAAAGAGAATAAAATCGTCGCTTCCTGAACTGGCATTAACTGATATTTCAAATATCAACAGTAAAAACAAAATTTGCTGCAGTAGGAGAAGCTGCATCAATCTTTTCTTGATTTAATAAATGACTTGCACCTCAGAAGACAAATGCCAACATGCAATTGCCATGTGGTGGCGTTTAAAGGCATGAGACGTGGAGCAGAGATGCAATTGGCAGTTCTGTATGTAATTAATAATATAACAACACTAAAACTGAAATGGTTAAGATATTTTAGAATGACCACAACAACATTGCAGATGTTTTACAATGTGGTCAGCTTTCCTTATTTATCCATTCACACACATTTTTATCATCACATGATCTCTTATCATAAAATCACATGACTTTAATGCGCATACTGGAATTTGTTCCTTTAAAGTGTTTCCATCGTAGTTTCTTCTGTTTAACACAAAATAAGATATTTTAAATAAAATCTGAAATCACTGACGTTCATAGTTTTTGTTTTTCCTGCTATGGAAGTCAATGGTTACTGGTTTTCAGCTTTCTTCAAAATATCTTCCTTAGTGTCCAACAGAAGGCAGAAAGTCATAAAGGTTTGAAAGTATTCATTTTCTTGGAATCATACAGATCCCAAACATTTGAACGGCTATGCAGATGAGAAACTCATTTTATTATCATTTCTCAGGGTGTACAACTCACTCTTCGTCCAAGACGTGATGTGAAGTTGTGGAAGATGAGGTGAGGGTAGGCTTCGGACATGGTGCCAATGTCTGGAACATCATGTCTCATTACCACATTATACATGGTAAAGTAGGCTGTTGGCCCAAAAGGAAGGTGACACACCACCAATCCATCTAAAAGAACAAGAAGACATAAATACCTTGAGCAAAAACTGCAAGAGGGATATGAAAGTAGACTTACAAGTACGATACAGCATAAAAGCCCATACCTGGCTGACCTCTGGTCTCATGAACTATAACAAGATCAGTGACATTATTAGATTTGCACGCATGTACTAAAGTTTTAACTTCATGGTTTCCTCTGTTCATACGCTGGGCCCCCGGAAACATTAGCTTCATTTCCTGTCAAACAAAACAAAAAATACCTAAATAAACCACAGTCTGTAGATATTGGTTTCCTATACGTCACTATATGCAAAACACCTGCATAAGTACAAGTGTTTTAAACCATAGTACTTCCTCATGCGTGTCAAATGTGAATAATACGATTTAACATACTTTGGCAAACATCTTGAGTCTGGAGCTGGGGTCTCTGGATGTTGTAACCATAATTTTGGGGTCTTCCACTCCTGCCCACTTGTACTCATCATCCATATGAGAACTAACACCTTAAATAATGTAATAAATAGGTTTAAATACAGTAAGAGATGAAACTCAATTCTGATATACGTGAGAGAAAAAGTCACCTTCTCCACCCTCATCATCGAACTCCAAGAGTTTCTGTACTTCTAATGCCTCTTTTCGAACCTCAGTAGGTAACAGACGATTTTCTGCAAGAGAAGTTTAAAATATGACAATTTCAAAATACATTAGACAAGCTTAGAGATGCAACGATTAACCGATTTCACTATCAACTGCGCTTTAATTCGTCACGGTTAATTAATCGTAAAGGCTTCTCAACACCGCGTTTCAGCACGGAACAAAACTGCTTCAACAAAAAGTTATGCCAACAGTCATGAATCATTAAGAAGCAGTCTCTTCTCATAGGATAAGAAAACTCAGCTATGAATAATAATGAGAAACCAACGTGTCATCTTTGCACTTGCAGTTTTGCACAATGTCTCCGATTTTGATCCCGCACCAAAAATCATTTTAAACCCGGAAGCTGAAATTAGCCGACAAAAGCTCAAAGTTATCCAGTTTTCCTCACAATAAAAGCTGACAGGTGCTAACATTGTCTTAACTGATGCTCAACACACACAATTCTGTTAAAATCTCAAAAAAGTATTCAGCGGTTTCGGGAACCTTTAACTATGGCTGAGGTTAACTAACGGTTATTCACATATCGCACCTTTTGGGGCAGAAAGTTCATTTTTTCTTTTCTTGCGCACATATTGACAGCAATGGGCTTACAATTTCCAGGCACACCTAGTTGAAAGAACGGCGCTAGTGCACTGCAAGTCACTAGACCAGTCAAGAACAGACCAGTCAGCTTTATAATATGTATGGAATATACACATTTCTACTACAAGGAGAACAAAATGAAATACAATAAAAGTTCATAATATAGTTGATTAAAAGCGTCTTTCAGACTGAGGCTCAGCAGCCTTTGACTACATTTATTTTCTTTAAAAGGGAAACACTGAGCTAATATGTAGCTAAGATTTACATTGGACAAATCCTTTTTTTTCTATTTATTCTTATTTTAATTTATTTATTTATTGTTCTGTCATTTATTATTAGTGTAAAATTATTACTTATGTTTAAAAGTCAAAATCTTTTTTTCTTTTATTTATTTTTTATTATTTTTTTCTTTTATAAGTCCAAAAAGAAATGGACAATTGTTTGTTTTTTATTATTATTTTGTGTTGTATTAATTGTTTACTGAGCAGCAGTAAACAACACTTTAAAATATAAGGAGTCCATGTGATTTTCTAAACTAGTAGTGTTTTAATATTAATGAACGCATAATAATTGTGATAACCGTGAATGTGTGATTATTCCTCAGACTATAATCGTACAACCAAAATCTAAAATCGTTGCATCCCTAGACAAGCTATTTACTGCTGGAAACTGACCATCTAAAGCAGACTTGAGCTTCTGTTTTTTCTCTTCAATAGTGCGCAGTCTGTCCTCCTGGGCTTTCCTGTACAGGTATTCCTTCCTCAGTCTCACTTCCCGTCGCAGCTATGGGCAAAAGAAACAATTAAAATAAAATTAATTCATCGTCACATGATCCTGAAACTATTCTAATATGCTGAAAAACATTTCAACCAAAAAAAAAAAAAACTGATGTGCTGCTGAAATGAATTTGAGGAAACTACAAGACTTGCAGGATTCTTTGATAAATAGCAAGTTAAAAAGGACAATTTTGATTTTAAATAAAATTACACTTTAACATAAAGCTAGGTCTCACTTGATCTATTGAAATTGTCCCAGTTGAATATAGTGCTTAATGGGAAATCATATGCATGAAATGCTTACTGCAAAATTGGACTGCATTAGATAAAAAGCAAGCAATGTAGCTATCAAGACCAAATATAGCTACTGTATATGCTCATGTCACAATATATAATGATCTTCACAGAGAGTATATTATTGGCAAATATTTTAAGACAATTAACGTTAACGTTATGCTACAATTATAGAACAATTGAAAAAAAAATTAAGTTTACTTTTAGGGAATCAATTAACATGAATAAATAACTGTACCGATTTTTACACTGGGTAGGGAACAAAATCCTACTTTTAATATAACGTTAGGTTTATATACTGATCATTCTTCATTGTAAGTTAGAGCTTGATCACACTATAACACAAGTAAAAAGCCACAATATTGGCATCATAAACCCCTTATGTATGAAGCGCGAGAGGAAAAACGGATTAAATGAATTTAATGCGAAACTCAAACATGTCTAATAAAATAAATACATTATATTTAAGTTGTACTAACCATTTTGAGAAACTACACGTGACAATTCTGCCTCACGGTCTACAATCACGACTTCCTGTTAGACAACAAGCAAGCATGACGCGGTCTTTCAAAATAAAAGTTCTCGGCACAATACAAATAAAGTTATGGCAAGCCGTTTTAGCTTAAACAAAGCTTTGTTCTGACCAATGAAGGTATTTCGGAACGATTGCATTGTGACGTACGATGTTATAATCCGACTAGTCCGAATGACAATTGGAGAAATCTGCAATCATAAATGTTCTAGTAAGAAAACAGATTCCACATAGGCCTGTAAATGTATTTTGATTATATTTGGGAAAGCTATTATTTATTTAATTGTTTTTACATTTTTAATAATTTATTCATTTCTTTTGGCTTAATCCTTGATTTATCAGGGTCGCAGCAGAATGAACCATCAACTACTCTGGCATATGACATAGATATTATTTGACATCATACATCCTCAAAGGTAAAAAGAAAATTCTTGAAATTGGTTTTGACTGATCTCAAATATATTTAGAGATATCTGAATTTGCTCCTAGTACAAATCGTTCTGCGACGTGATTACCTCAGCTCTCCATTAAATATACTGTAAAAAAAATTCATTCATATTTCGAAAATATACCTCGTCATGGACTTTTAATTTTCAGTAAGCCACCTCAAACACTTCCGGTGAACTGTTATGTCAACTGCCATTACAAAATCGCAGAGTTTAAGATCTGTTTTATTTAAAAATCAAATTCACTGCCTGATTGATATACTGTACGATAGAAAGTGAATCTCAGACCGGATAAGAAGCACTGTTTTAAACTCCATTGTTCTGTGTCTTGCTTAGAAATTTAATTTACCATAGTATTTTCAATGGAGTTTCTGTGCTCCCGTACTGTGTCTTGTCATCTTGTTTTACACCTGAACAATTAAATTAATGCTGCAGTCTATTTTAATGACTGTAATCTGATTAAATTAAATACAAATGGGTCTGTATGAAATTCATGAATCACATTGACCATTTACTACAGGTTTATGGTGGCTGGAACTTGCTGTGCAAAAAGATCATTTAGGTATCCATAAAATGATTTTGAATAGTCAGAATGTTAATATAACATATAACTACATGACTTTATTCAAAGTCACAAAGTTGAATGCAGATATCAGCTCACCAGACTGAGCTATATAATAAAACTAGAGATATCTTTAAATGAGTTTTGACTAAGAAGAATTTCAATTTTATTTACATTAAATGGTTCCTATTTACATTTAGCTGGTTCCAAAGGTCCAATTCATGATATAAAAGTAATTTGACTAGTGCTAAATTATTGTAATTGTATTTTGGATATCTCTTGAATATGGTAAATTAAATTAAATATCTCTAGTTTGGTAATGACAAGTCAAACACTAGAGATATCTAAAAATAAAATAGTTACTAGCAGCATTTTATTACTGCTAGTAAAATTAGAATTTGAAATATCCCAAAAGTATATTTAGGACTAGTCACAATAACGCTGTAGACATATTTAATGCACATAACGCGCCTTAGTCATAACCACATTGTAGATATCTTTATTCCAGTTAAAACAAGTCAAAAATATAAAATAGATTTTTGGAAATTATATTGGAATTTGGACTAGTCAAAAATAAAATTATGACTATACAGCATTTATGTAAGAGTATTTATGTTAAAATGGCTTGCCATATTGATTGACAAAATAGTAGTTGAAACATTCAGTGCTCAGCATATATAAGTACAGTAGCACAACCTTCACAAATCTCTTTTAAATGCATATCTTTAGTAGAAAGCTGTACAATATTATATGTGTGCATTAGATTAGTCAGAACTGAAGCCAAATCTGAAGCTGATCTAACAAATTAACTTAACGGTCCAAAAATTTGTACATTTAAATTTATACGTTTTAGAAAAATAATAAATACAAATTTTAAAAAGAGGAAAAGTCAAGAGAAGAAAAAAAGGGAAAAATGCATATTTTGTAGATTTTTTTTCAATTGCATTATCTTGCAATTTCTGAATATGTTTGGTGACTAAAAAATTATTTTAATAAATAAATTTGTTTGGTTTAAATGCACCCAAATGCATTGCCTATATTCACTGAGAAATGGACAAAAACATTAATTTTCAAAATTGGGTGTACACATTTATGCTGCACACTAGTTGATGTTTATAATTTATAATTCAACTTATAATGATCTTTGAGATACACATAATGTTATTAAGAGTTTCGCATCAAAGATAAAAATAGGCTATTTTTCTATGTTTTTGACCGTCAAAGAAAGTCTCAATACTAGTTTCGGTAGTCATGTGGTTCCAGTGGTGTCTGCGGTAGACATGGCAATAAGATCAAAATGGAGGAAATAGTTTTTTCCCACAACATCATGCTGCACAAACACCTTTGATGTCAGTTTGCCAAGAAATCTTGTCTTTGCATCTATCTTGTGTTTGTTTACTTACTACTTTGAGCTGGGTAGTTACGGATTACATGTAGGCTAATCTAGATTATCTAAGCCAGTGGTTCTTATTTCCGGTTCCTGGATCCCCTCACCCTGCACATTTTGCATGTCTTGCTTACTTAAAACACCTGATTCAGATCATCAACTCATTAGCAGAGAATCCATGAATTGATCCTTGTGTGTGTTAAATAAGAGAGACATACAAAGTGTGCAGGCCCAAAGACTGGAATTGAGAACATTTACATTTACATTTACATTTAGTCATTTAGCAGACGCTTTTATCCAAAGCGACTTACAAATGAGGACAAGGAAGCAATTTACACAACTAAGAGCAACAATGAATAAGTACTAAAGGCAAGTTTCAGGTCTGTAAAGTCTAAGAAGGGAAGTGTTTTTTTTTTTTTTTTTTTTTTTTTTTTTTTTTTTTTGTACAATTAGTGTGATATTCAAAGAGGCAATTGCAGCTTAGGAAGTGAAGTGGAGACTAAATAGTTGAGTTTTTAGTCGTTTCTTGAAAAATAGCGAGTGACTCTGCTGTTCTGATGCAGTTAGGGAGTTCATTCCACCAACTGGGCAGATTGAGCGTGAGCGTTCGCGAAAGTGATTTTTTCCCTCTTTGGGATGGAACCACGAGGCGACGTTCATTCACAGAACGCAAGTTTCTGGAGGGCACATAGATCTGCAGAAGTGAGTGCAGATAAGAAGGTGCTAGGCCAGAAGTCACTTTGTAGGCAAACATCAGAGTTTTGAATTTGATGCGAGCAGCAACTGGCAGCCAGTGCAAACGGACTAGCAGCGGAGTGACATGTGCTCGTTTAGGTTCATTGAAGACAACTCGTGCTGCTGCATTCTGGAGCAGTTGAAGAGGCTTGATAGAGTTAGCTGGAAGCCCAGCTAGTAGAGAGTTGCAGTAATCCAGTTTGGAGAGAACAAGAGCTTGAACAAGGAGTTGAGCTGCATGTTCAGATAAGAAGGGTCGGATCTTTCTGATGTTATAGAGTGCAAATCTGCACGATCGAGCAGTTCTAGAAATGTGGTCAGAGAAGTTTAGTTGGTCATCAATCGTTACTCCAAGGCTTTTCACCATTTTGGATGTAGTAATGGTTGCCCCATCCATCTGGATTGAAAAGTTATGGTGTAGAGTCGGGTTGGCAGAAACTACAAGCATTTCCGTTTTTGCGAGGTTCAGCTGAAGATGATGATCTTTCATCCAGTGTGAAATATCCAACAGGCAGGCTGAGATACGAGCTGGAACCGAGGGATCATCAGGATGAAAAGAGAGGTATAGCTGGGTGTCATCAGCATAGCAGTGGTAGGAGAATCCATGTCTCTGGATGACTGGTCCTAGAGATGATGTGTAGATGGAGAAGAGAAGTGGCCCAAGAACAGAGCCTTGAGGTACCCCAGTGTTTAGATGCTGTAGGTTGGACACCTCTCCCCTCCAAGACACCCTGAATGACCTGTCAGAGAGGTAAGATCTAAACCATTGTATAACAGTGCCCGCAACGCCCAGTGACTCAAGCGTAGATAGCAGGATCTGGTGGTTGACAGTGTCAAAAGCAGCTGACAAGTCCAGCAAAATGAGGACTGATGATTTAGAGTCTGCTTTAGCCAGTCTGAGATCCTCCACGACCGAGAGCAGGGCAGTCTCAGTTGAGTGGCCTTTCTTAAAGCCGGATTGCTTGTTGTCCATGAGATTGTTTTGAGTAAGAAAGTCCAGGACTTGATTGAACACTACTTTCTCCAGAATCTTGGCCATGAATGGAAGCAGGGATACTGGTCTGTAGTTTCAAGTAGCGTATGGTCCAGGTTGGGTTTCTTTAGCAGTGGGGTTACCCTAGCCTGCTTAAATGTAGTGGGGAATAAACCAGAGTCAAGAGATGTGTTAATTATGTGAGTCAGTGTTGGTATGACTGCAGGAGAGATGGCTTGCAAGAGATGAGAGGGAATGGGATCGAGTGGACAAGTGGTTGCATGGCTAGATAGCACAAGTTTGGACACCTCAGACTCAGAGAGCTGAGAAAAAGAGGTGAGTGTGTGTGGTGTTGGTGTTGTATCTTGCGTGTTTGTTGTAGGTGCAGCAAATTGAGCACTGATTTTTGCAGTTTTGGTGCAGAAGAATGTAGCAAAGTCATCAGTAGTAAGTGTGGAGGATGCGGGTGGAGGAGGAGGATAGAGGAGGGAGGAAAATGTTTTAAAAAGTAGGCGAGGATTAGTGGCATTGTTGATTTTTAGACGGTAATACGTCTGCTTTGCAGAAGTAACCTCAGCTGAGAAAAAGGACAGAAGAGTTTGGTATGTTAAGAGATGTGCAGGATTTTTAGTTTTCCGCCAAATTCTCTCTGCAGCCCGAAGTTTTGAGCGATGCTCACGGAGAGCATCCGAGAGCCAGGGTGCAGGAGGACTGGCACGGGCTGGCCTGGATGCAAGAGGACATAATCGGTCTAGACATGATGCTAGTGTGGAGCAGAGTGTATTAGTGGCACTGTTCGAATCAAGTGCAGTGAGTTTGCGAGATGGAGGAAGAGAGTCTGAAACAATGGTGGATAGTCTATTGGGTGAGAGAGATCGTAGGTTTCTGCGAAAGGTAACCAGTGTTGGAGTGTGT